GACTGATTTGAGAGCGACCGCCGATGCGAAAACCGCTGTGTGAGTTCGAAAAGTGAGTTACAGAATCGCAGGGCAGCATTGTGTCACACACGCCGCCGACTTTTTGGGTCTAAGACAAGCCGGTTGCCTCGCGATGTTTTCCTTTACCGTTGGAGCGAATGTTAAATGCGCACATAGACTGGAAGTCCATTGGAGCATAGCCGGTGATCGAACCATCAACCTCAGGGATAAGAGTCGCACGCCAACACTGCTCGTACACGGTGAACGGAAATATATTATTTGTATTATATATCCGTTGGTATACATGTTATCTTTGAGTAAAGACAAGACATAAAGGTTACCAAAGATCAGACGTCTAAGATATGAAAGTGCGACGTTACTTTGTTCAAGTTCATGCTTTTAATACATTTAGATAAAGATAAAGTTCATCCAAACTTAAGATTGAAATTTCTTGCGCCATCTTCGTTTGGTTGAATAGTGAATGGGAAAAAAATCACTTTTATTATATATAAAAGTGATTTTTTATATATTACCTGCTGTTTTTGTACTTGGTTAAAAACCATTCCACTACCTTTGCTTAGACATAATGAGTGTAATGGTTACGACTTACAAGCATGTTGTAAAACTTGAACATTAAAGAGTGGCGGAGAGTTTCTTGCATACACTCTTGATTTCAGAGCTGGCAGTAATGTTCACTTAATAATAATAATGCCACTTTAATTCCATACTATAAAAATTTCATATCACATTTGTGTTAGTTTTGTTATTATTACTTAGTCTACGTTAGTCATTGTTATTTCCATGACTTTGTGCTCTGCCCTTTTGGTAAAGGGCTCCTTCTGAACTTCCCCATTTGGATCTGTTCTTTGCTTTCTCTATCCATAGCTCCAAAAAAAGGGTGCGTGTACTTATGCACGCGCGTAAAAAGTTATACTTCTTTGGCATTACTAAAAATAGTTTTTGATTGCATGCAAATAATTATTTTTATTTTATTTATTTATTTACACTTCGTTGCTAATAATATAAAAAACACAATACATAAAAATTATAAGGGATGCAACGGGCGGCCTTATCGCTAATAAGCGAGCTCTTCCAGGCAACCCTAGTTAAGAGAAAAAGTAAAAAAAAAAAATTTTTTTAATTACAATTACATAATCAAAGACTGGAAAAGGAGTCATTATAGTCAATAAAGTTCAGTTTACATTTAAAAAATTATATAAATAAATATTTATTATTATTCTCTTACATTAAGTGTAACATAAATTCTATTATTATTCGAATGTTTTTTTTAAATTATGTCCAATGCCGTAGCATCTTCCGTGGGTAACTTCATTCCGTTAATTGTGTGCACGGTGCGCGCGCGTCATAAAATTTCACTGTCGTCAATTTTTCATAACGCGCCTAAAGAAGTACTTCAAAAATCTAAAGTTTTCTGTCATATAAATGATGTCGTCCATCAATGTGGTCGGTCGTCCCACGTTTCTTTTTCCTGGATCTCCCCTTCAGCGGAGGTCCATCTTTTGTCTGTTGATCTTGCAATATGCCCTACCGCTTTGCATTTCAGGTGTAAGGTTGGCTCGCCTGTGATCTTAGTTTTCGCCCTGATGTGGTTACTTCGTATTTTGTGAATCTTTTTGATTCTTAGGACGCTCCGCTCCATTACACTCGGGACCTAGTCACCTTAGGATTCACTCTTTCCGTAAACGCCCAGGTTTGGCTCACGTAGACCAGGACCAGAATGCTAGTGTCCATTACAGTTTTTTTTAATCTAGGCTATATTTTCCTATTAACTCTTCTTTAATATTCACTTATTTTTTTTACTGACTGATCATTTGTTTACGAGCAGAGCATAGTAAAGAACTTAATATAATCCAAATAAACCTTGAGCTAGCATTAGCAAGAATTAAAGGTCATATTGTGAATTGCATCTAAAAGTTATCAGTAAAAAATCTACATTAAGATTAATGCAAAGTAGTTCAATTAAATGTGATAAAATCTAAACTGAATTAGCATTACTCATGTCAGATCGCAGTGTAAAGGAAGAGTCTTCCTCCAACCTAAAGAGAGGATCCTCGACAGGGCGGAGCACTTACTGGCCAGCCCGAAGACCCTCTTACCCCAGTGGCTTATGCAGGTTGCATATGCAGTTGATAATACTTCGATACCGCGATTCAGGGTATGACATCATCTCACTGATTGCAGATTACCGCTACATGAGTATCACTAAAGCAGAACCTTGCTGGCGGTTTTTTTACCTGCTCTTTTCTTTCTATTGTTAGAAGTTTGGTAGTTATGGGTAGATCTCGAGGCTTCCTTATAGAACCGTATTAGGTCAGCCTTGTAGATTCTAAATTTGAATGTTACCTAATGTCAACAGGGTTTTGCCGAGGAAAATCTTCTACGTCACGCGGTGTTAACTTTTTTATAATGTGTGAAGTCATAGAGGTCGCCAAAATTGCAATGCTAATTCGAAAATATTATAAACAAATATGTAATATTTGGCAGGTTTCTGTTAATTCGATGAGAATAGATAATTTCAATGTTGGTTGGGAAAACAATATATATAAGAAAAATGGTCTTCGTTTGAGGCTCCTTCACGCCTAAACCATATTTTTCCTAGATGGTTTATGGCTATTTATTTTTTAAATTCCAACGTTCCTTAATTTTTTGATTGCTGTTTTACTTTTATGAAAATTTATACATACGGACTTCACCGCGGAAACATTCGGGGAGGCTTCCTAGAACCTCAAAACGTCAACAACTGTTAAAAACTCGATTTTCGAAAATTTTCAATTTTCTTAGCGGGAAGTTAAAAAGAAGAATAATAAAAATATGAAATATATAATAATAATGAAACATAAAATTTTATTTATTTCCTATTTTAATTCGCCCAGCAAAGCGGGCGGGAAACGGCTAGTATATATATATTTAAAGAATTTAACATCAACTCAGCAAGGACGCTGTTCCGTAAGATTGTCGAACTTAGTTTATACTAGTATTGTAGCGATCGCAAAAATATGAAATATCTGGGCTGAAATGAACGGAAGAAGCAAAAAATGGGAAATCCAAATGGAAAGTTGTAGAGGATGCCTTTACCCAAAAGAGATCCATACTAACATACACAATAACCTAGGCCACGTATGTAATAGCAAAACTAACTCCCATCATTGTCATCATAATGGCTATACATCCCCTGGTGGAAGGCCCACAAAGGACACAAGCCTTCGCAAATATATTTCGTCATCGTGCTTCTTGCGAACATCTATTGTTTCGAGGTCCATCCCACCAACGCAGCCTCGGTCTACCGGGTTTTCGTTTGCCACCCGGTTGTGAAGCCAGTAAGGACCTTGCTGTTCTGTCATCCATTCGGTGCACATGTCCCAACTTTCTTTATTGAAGTCAACCATCATTGTCACAAACTCTTGTTTGAGGAAGCTCGTCCTTCTCGCTAAAGGTCCATGTTTCAGAAACGTACGTAAGCACTGCCCTGCGATTCTGTAACTCACTTTTCGAACTCACACATCGGTTTTCGCATCGGCGGTCGCTCTCAAATCAGTCGTGAAGCAGTCATGTCAAAACCGCTGAGTGAGTTCGAAAAGTGAGTTACAGAATCGCAGGGCTGGTCGCAGCAGAGTTTTTTACGAAACCAATTTGGTATTCATTCTGAGAAGTCGTGATCGGCAATATTCACTTATACCCATTTAATGTAAAAAAAATAAGGCAAGCGTATTTTACGTAAGTAGGTAATACTTTGGCAAACTTAGAGCTTCACTCAAAAGCCTTGGAGCATGACTCCACATGAGGGTTGCTTAAAATTCAACCCGATGTCTCTGCCAAATCCAAAAAGCGTTGAACATATGAATAAGATTACTCGTATGGTCACTTTGAATCAAGTGATAACCGCTGCCTCTGGTGTGTTGCCGATGTTTTAGGGAATGGTACGCTCTATTTCTTGAAGGCCCCTAGGTCATATCAGTTTTTAAATACCTCTCCTGGCTGCTGGTACCAAAAAGAGGCGATCCCCGGCAGAAAGTGACTTAAAAAGCGCTGTGTTGTGGACGCCAGGCATCGAGATGGAGTGCATGGAATTTAGCATTTTACCTCGTCGTCCGATGATACACGAGAACTTGGAGGTATAGGCATAAAACAAATTCTTAAAGAAGAAACCACGCCCGACGACACACGCTACAAATCTATTACCAATGTAACAATATAATACAAAAAATATTTCGTAAGCTCTACTGTTTGTGGCTTGCGGTCTTAAATCAATGTCAAGGGTACATCATCTTTACCTTCAACCGACCTTCTATGTAATGACATCGTGCGAACATCCAAACTTTAATTGTAGTCTAAATGCAGGCCATTTATGTAAAGGACAATAGGAACATAGCTTTCAGAACTTAATAAGCCGCCTTAAAACGCACTGCAAAAAGATTTTTTTAATTCGAACGCGTACGTCTAAGATAGCGCATGAACTTCCCTCGTTGTTTGATTGGTTAAACAGAGGGTAGAAGCTTTCAAAAGGAAATAATTTTATACGTTATTGCAACATTTTTATTGATCCCATTGAATGTTGATGTGAATAATGAAACCTTTTTTTCCATATCCTTTAATTCCACTTCAAATGTTGAAATACTGTTAATTTTAACTTTTTAAAATTGAAAGTGAAGTAAACATGTTCAATGCAATATTTCGTCATGTTTTATAAGCGTTTTGAATATACGAGATGTTAAAATTATTTATTTAAAAATATCAACATTACATATGAAAATATATAATATAGTATAGTATTTACTTTGAGTTAAATATTAGTAGTAATATGTTGCCTCTGGATATGGACCCCTCTTGAGTGGAAGCTTTGCCAATAGTCTGCCAGTCTGTTCCTGCTATTTCAAGTCATCAGCCCACCTTCTTTTTTGATGCAACATTTATATTCATCCTATTGAATGTAATGATGTTGATGTGTAAAATTAAAAAAAATAATAATTTCAGATTCCGAAATGGCGGAGGAAGTGCCAACCGTCAATCTGGATGACACAGGATCACAGGCAGCTTCAACTTCTGTAGCGGGAAGTAACCGTGATTCGCTAAATAGTTTACTTAACAAAGCCAATGACAACAAAAACTGCCTGAAGGATTGCACTCTAGGAACACAATACTCTATGATCTGTGACGATGTCAGAAAGGAGACTAAAAGAAGGAGTTTCTGTTGCAGTAAGTATAATTTCATAAAGAATACATAACACTTATTTTTATGTATATATTTTAAATGCAGAATCTAAACAATTTATTTGTTAAGTATACAGTATTTACAATGTTCTTAACCTACAAAGTTTATTACTTTGTAGGTTAAGAAATATTTAAAAGAAAATCAAAACAAATTTAAAAAGTTTGGTCCTTGTGGCAGTGTACCTTAAAAAAATTAAAATTAATTGTATTTTAAATTACACACATTTAAAGTAATATTCTAAATCAAATTAGTCTTGCTCAGAGTCGCGGTATCGAAGTGTCTCTAATGTTTAATTTTTAAAATTCAATTCGACATCTTTTACAAAGCAAGTAACAACTTAATTACAACATACAACAATACATAGTCAGCTAATCTGCTACTTAATGATTGTATTAAAATTATCATTCATCTCGCGTACGCTTATATTAATTTGAATATTCAATGTCAAATACAAGCGTAACATCTGGTGGTCTAGAAAGCGTTTATACACAATACAACGCAATTCGTTGATAATACGCACTGTTTCAATTAAATGATCTTTATAATAATAATTGATTTTACCTACTCCACATTCACCACATCGTTTTAAAGATCTTGAAAGAGAGATAATAAAATGCATCATAATGAATTCATTATTTCATGGAGACACTGAAACGTAATTCGTAAAATGTTTTTTGAAACCGATAAATATTTTTTTGATTGAAAAGTTAAGCGTGTATTTGGAAGCCCCAAACGCACAAATAGGTAATAATAATATAGACATATAACCAACATTCATATAATATTATATCCAACCCAATAAAGTAATCTTTGGTTTGATTATAGACAAAACATTGTTTTATTAAAGGAAATTACCCGCCATATTTTTACACCAAGTTTATATGTAATATTGATATTTTTAAATAAATTATTTTAACATCTCGTATTAATATTCAAAACGCTTATAAAACATGACGAAATATTTCATTGAACATGTTTACTTCACTTTCAATCTTAAACAAGTTAATATTAACTGTATTTCACCATTCGTTCAAAGAAAGCGTAAAGTAATGTATGTTGTCTTATAATCTGTGGAACGTAAAGTTCTATTATACATTAATACTAGTGGACCCCACAGACGTTGTCCTGCATGATATTTAAAGCGATTAGGATATTAAGCAAAGTATGAAAGTACCGACTGCAGTGCCATCTGCCGGGCTGATTTGTGAATCTAAACCATTCCCAGATCCCCTTGAACACACACAAAAAATTTCATCAAAATCGGTCCAGTCGTTTGAGAGAAGTTCAGTGACATACACACTTACAGAAGAATTATATATATAAAGATAGATCTACTTCAATATCATATTATTAGTAAACACAAAAGATTAGAACGTGTAGGTACTTTAGACTTTTAAAATCTACTGAGGTTAGGTTAGTAACAAGTCCGTTCCGCACGAAGTCTCGAAATAAAAGTGAGTCAACGCCGGTGTTGCCACGCTTTATATAGGTTTTATGCTACAAGATGGCGTTAGTCCGCTAACAATATTATATCTTTGGTTTTTAAATTATTTTATAAATAAGAACGACCAAGGAGATTTAAATAAAAAGTATTTAGATGATTCGAGGAAGTTAAGCCGCAGAAAAACAGGCATCTCCTGACCAGGTCACGTAAAGTTAAGTGATACTGCCGCCCATGGACACTCGCAAGCGCACTGCCGGCCTTTTAAGGTTTGTGGACTCAGATTCCGCACTTAGACTCTCAATAGATCCGTTGTGCGTACGGCTTTTTAAGAATTAGTACGCTCTTTTCTTGAAGGACCCTAAGTCGAATTGGCTCGGAAATACTTCAGGGGCAGCTGGTTCCACATAGTGGTGGTGCGCGGCGGAAATTGCTTTAAGAAACGTCGGTCTAGTTCTGTATAAAAAAAAATAACTACTGATACTTTAGATACTTTAAATTACAATTATCATCATTAATGGCCATATAGCCCCTTATGGAGCTCAGTCTTCGCAAATATCTTTCACCATCACAATCTATCTCGTGCATCTAATTCGAACCCCTATTGTTTCGAGGTCCTGAGTCGCAGCCTCGGTCTACCGGGTTTTCTCTTGCCACCACAAACTACAATTATAGATTATCCTTACGAGTCAGTCATTTTTCCGAATAGATTATAGTCTATGATTCACATTAAAAAACTAGTTTGCTCTATGAATACAATCGCTTGACCTAATTTTGACCTAACCTTGACATGACAGTAGTTTAAATAGAAAAGTTTTTATTCACACTTTCGATAGATCTCGATATTTGAAATATATACCACTATATTGGTAGTATATATCAAGATAAGACATGAACGAATGGCGCCTTTACCCTTGACTTTGGCTTCAGATTTGCTGTCTGTTCCTTGATTCATTTATTAATCAACTCAATTCAAAATCATTTATTCATTTAGGTAACACAATGTACACTTATGAACGTCAATAAGTCAATACATATTAAATGCTAAATGCTTCTAATTTTACATTTTCTGCCAGTTCTCAATCAAAGACGTAGAACGGACGAGAAGAACTGACAATAAACTCTCCGCCACTCTTTTTAATCGCCAAGTTTTTTGTTTTACTAAATATTTGTAAGGAGCTGCAACCATTACACCATGTTCCACATGACATCTTAAGTAATTAATATCAGCAGTAGGCATGGTGAAATAGGAGCACGCACTTACATTCTCGTGGGAACAACACGCAAATACTTAGTCGAAATAACTAACATTATTCTTAATAGGCAACGTTATCCGCCTTCTGTATGTAAGCATGCTGGTTTCCTCCGTTGCTTTTCTACATGCATGTGCTAGCTAATTGAGTCAGAAGGAAAAGTCGATTTGAAATTAGTGTTCTACTGTGCCCATAGCGCCCTCGCTAGCCGCTTAACGAGTGTTGAAGTAAAGCCTCTAGCCGCAAAGCAATAGGCCATTATTAAAATGGTTCCAATTCTTTTCACAATCAGGAAATCAATACCGCAGATTAGACGATAGCGCTCATCCATATCACAGTTTATTGTTACATATAGTGATTGCCAATTGTAGCTTTCTTTGTATGAATATCCTCAGATATCCAGTCTAATATTCTAGATCCTCCTTGTGGGTTAGACCATTCAAAAGAGGGCAGCCACCAGCTTTTCTATACACGCCTATGCTATGATAACTTACTAAGAAAATCTATTATAATTAATTTTAAAATATTCCCACGAATCTGCCATTAACATTATTGTCCAAGAATGTCTTTGAAGTGATAAGGAAAGTATTTGCTAATAATTTTATTGTTAAGAAATTAAATATTTACATCCGAAGGTCCTGGGAAGAGTTTCTTATAGATAGAAATCATGTTTCATAATAAATGTGTAATAAACAAATTACTCAATATTCTCTGTGTTCAATAAAAAGTAATAATGAGTATGACGCAATTTTTTACTAAATGTAATAAATTTCTGACGAAATTAATTTTCAGGTTTATGCACTTTGTTTATGTTTCTAAAGCTAAAATTCCGTTTTGATAAATACAAAATATTCTTCCCTTTTAAATATCGTGTACCGCTGCGACTGCTGCGTCATCAGAATGGCGCCTGAGATACGACTTTAACCGCGAATAAAGTTAGAAACGTTAGGAGCTATATCCGATGAATATAGAAGATGTACATTAATTCCAAGCCAGCTTCTTGGTGGATCTTGGCAGCCAGCAGTCAGCCAGCGCAACTCTGGTGAAACAAAACAACTTTAGCGGGTTCGCCACGTTGTTGCTAGCGTATTTCCTCACGCAACTTTGTAATTTGTCCGTATTAAGTCGCAGTAATAGTAGTTCCATGATTGAGATATACGATCATTACACCCCTTGGTGATACCAGAAGAAACCATGACCTTACCAGCGGATGGAATCGCCTTAAATTAATATTAAAATAATATAGTACTAAAAAAATATACTTATCTATTTTTTTGCCATAAGTTAAATTTTACACATTTTTAAGAACACGTTCCGAAACTTGATGACTTTAACAAACAAAAGAGATATTTTTTTTAATTATTATATCTAATGTCTGGACTATGGCAGAATTTTTTAAATTCTTTCTAAGGAGAATGTATCGCATTATTTATAGTACAACCCTCGTGTATTTCACCATACCTCAAAACCAAGTGTTATTTCTACTCCGGGTATACCAGGCGTCAGGTCCTTCCTTCAAGAAACCACTCTACCACGAGGAACTAGCTGTCTGCCTGTGTAATAATAATAATAAGTAGTACCTAGTTATTCTCCTATTACTAAGTTAGTTATGTAACCCAAAACCAACCGTTAACCAGCCATTCTCCAGTTAGAAATGTTCGAAAAAACCCGACTTAGTTTTATATAATATTAATACGAACCATAGATGAAATTTCATGCTAACATAAATTAATATTTATCCTTTTAATAATATATTTTAGTTATTATATTATGAGGTTCGTTATTGTTTTTTGTTATATTAATTTATAAGTCGTTGACATTAGCTTCAATTAAATATAACAAGCTGTCAGCAATCTTATAGTCACATTGTTTTTTCAGGTAACACATCCCAAACAGTTTGGGGAGTGATTCTGATATCTTTATCTATAAGTGGATTTATTTTCACACCTCAAGACGTAATGCTGTGGGAAAAACTTAATATGAGACCTGGTAAGTATTCACCATGAATTTTTAAGGGATCCTTCGAATAAATAGCATTGTAAGACGATAGGATGACGTGTGATTGTGGTAATTTAAACAATCAGAGAATCTACATGAAGACCTATTCATGTAGTTCATGAATCTGTGATGGAAGTGTGAAGACCACATCATAGCCGAACCGCCCTGAAATTATTATGAAAAAAAGTTCGAGGAACTGTCAGTGCGAAGACCTATATATATCGACTATTTATTATAAACGCGAAAATGAGTCAGTAAGGTCTATTTGTGTGTCAAAATAGCTCGAAGTATATGATTACATACTCATATTTCAATTCAACAGAAAGCGATTCTAGTTGCATTGTTTGCAAGGCTGCAAATTTGTGCGGTTTAGATTTATTTCGTAAGTTTGACCTTTGTATACATTACTGAGTAACACAAATTAAAAATTAACATGTATAAACTTCATCACAGACTAAAAACATTCTCAATTAGAGTTTAGTCGTACCACAACCAAAAATATTACTTTTTTAAATATGTAGGATTAATATGTAGCCATAGTTGTTTCCTTGCTTAGTACAGCGACGGAAATAGTGAGGTAGCCGTCATGTCAAGGTGTAGACCAAAGACCTATGATGGTCACTCACTTGCCCTGAATGAAAAATGATAACTGACACAGAGATATAAACTAAAATAATAAGGCAGCAGCTAACTATTAATTCGATATAAAAAAAATAAAAAATCTGTGGCGCCACAACCTTTTTAGGTCTGGCCTCGGGTTTCTGTATCTCTATAATGATCATTTAAACTAATAGGCAAGTAGGCTTCCTGTGCCTGACACACGTCGACTTTTTGGGTTTAAGGCTAGCCGGTTTCCCCACGATGTTTTCCTTCACCGTTCGAGCGAATGTTAAATGCGCACATAGAAAGAGTCATCCGTACACAGCCCGGGATCGAACCTACGGGATGAGAGCCGCAAGCTGAGGCCACTGGGCCAACACCGCTTTGATTAATTCGATATAGTTTTTTTAATACTACTGCTAGCACTGATGTCGTGTCTTAGAAGTCCGTGAGACGAAAAATATTGTGTGGTATTATTACGGGGAATGAGTCAGCCTTGCTCGGAGCAGTTATTGGGTGCCATCCAGGGCCTTGATTGTGATCCAAGATCCATGGATGTATTAAAATGTTTCTACGTAAAATAATTAAATGTTTCCAAATTCACATTTACTACCAGTTCAGTATAGCATTTACAAATATACACGCACATTTTTCAGGCCTACCACCATATGACTGGTGGTCAGACCCACCTGATCAGGTGAGGATGAGAATGTACGTCTTTAACGTGACCAACCATGACAGGTTTCTCTCTGGCGCTGATGACAAAATTAATGTAGAGGAAATTGGACCAATTGTGTATTTGTAAGTATAAAATTAAAATAGGTTTATTATTCTCACAGTACTTCATCCGTAACATGAGATAAAATCATAGATTTATATTGAACTAGCTGACCCGGCAAACGTTGTTTTGCCATATATATTATTTCTAAGAAACATTTTTTAGTTCAATAACTATCGACTATAATAAAAAATAGAGGTTGATCGTAGAGGGGTGAAATTTAGGGGTTGTGTGTATTTTTGTAAGCTGTATCATAAAAAAAAATATATACAAAAATAAAAACAAAAAAAATATATAAAAAAATTGTTTGGGGGCTCCTTATCACTTAGGGGTTTGAAAGATAGATAGTAGCCGATTCTCAGACTTACTGATTATGCATTAAAAATTTCATAAGAATCGGTCGAGCCGTTTCGAATTCTACGTTGGAAGAGGTTGCCTATTTACAGGCAAAGAGAAAGGTTCTTTCTTTGTAGGCAGTGAATGATACGGCTAAAAGAGCTGTATAGTTTATGCAAGATTTTCATGGTTTAATCATTGCAAAGGAAGAACAAAAACAGTTTTTACTACGCTGTGTGCAAGCGCATAGAAATCTGTATTATCCTGACTGTAAAGAATAGAACCTTAAAAGAAAATATCCTTGCTAATGTGTAATTTTATGTTCTTTTAATTAATAAATACTCATTTTCTTACTTAAATTTTTATTATTATTTTCAAAAATATAAATATTTCATTTTATTTAGTTCAATGGTTAAAGGGTTAAAGGCAGCGATTTTCAAAATCTTCACGGCCTTGTCGGCACGGATTAATGTGGACGTAGGAAGATATTTTTTTAATTTTTTCGCCCATATAATAGACATTTATATTGAAAATATTTGTTTCAGAGAAAAATTACTGCATTATAATATAACTTTTAACGATAACGGAACTATGACATACACAGCCAAGCGATTTCTTATATATCTACCGGAGGAGAACACTATTAATCTCAACTCTACAATAATATTACCCAATTTGGCCGTACTGGTAAGTAAATGAGATCTTCAGAGTAAATGAATCTGTCGTAAGTAGTTTTTTATTTAAATATATTTAAAACATTGATTAATTACATTGATTTTGTTATTGTTACATATGGGGTTTTATATAAATCCTTTTAACTTTTAGGTTATTTATTATAAATAGCAAAACATTATATAACATTACGTCTGGAAATACAATTATTATAATACTTTATATAAAAAAATTTTATCGGATATAAATGCATAAAATATAAATAAAATATATTTTATTTGCATGTGTGTGCTAGATGATACATGGTTTTTTTAATGCATATATAATATATACTCGCATAATTAACAATATTTTTTAAGAATAACCTACTCTTTTCTGAGTTAAATAAAGACATATTAAAAAATAAATCAGTGGCGCTACAACCTCTTTAGGTCTTGGCCTCAGATTTCTGAATCTGTTTCATGATCATTTTTAAATCTAATGGGCAAGTAGGTGATCAGCCTCCAGTCCACACACACGCCGTCGACATTTTGGGTCTAAGACATGTCGGTTTCCTCGCGATGTTTTCCTTCACCGTTCGAGCAAACGTTAAATGCGCACATAGAAAGAGAGTCCATTGGTGCACAGCCGGGGATCGAACCAATGACCTCAGGTATGAGAGTCGCACGCTGAAGCTACTAGGCCAACACTGTTCTACAAGTTATATTAAGTCGTTGAAATTACTAACTTCCCGACAAATTACGAAATTGTTTTTTTTACGATTTCATCGCTTAGATGCACAGATTATATACTAACTACGCTAAAAGTGTAATTTGTTTTTGGCCTTTCACCTTGACATCAAATATTTGATATTTTATGCATACGGGTGTGTTTAATCAAAAGTGGAAGCGTCTGTTGTATCTTTGATTAAGACACAGTCAGTAAAGAGAAAAAGTAACATTTGATAAATTACCTTATAATGACCCCAAAAGTAGTATTTGTCTATGCGCAGGTCCATGTTAAATAACTTCCTTACTAAACTAATACCATTATGTATAAATACAAATTTTAAAAAACCTTTTTTACTTAATGACATAACAGTGAATGAGACCGAAGAATGAGAGATCTGCAATATATTGATGTGTAGACCATTTATTGAGGTTAGTTATATAATGTCACACGACGGAATTAACGCGGGAAAAACCGCCAGTTACAGCTTAGTATAAAAATAAGTTAAAAACTAACAAACGACTATTAATTCTACATAAATTTTGCTTGAACGAGTAACAAATAAATACATACAATAAAAACAATACAATTTTTATCTCTCCGGTTCATTGACATAGATACAGCTGTGACGCATACTTAAAAAGTAAACTGTGCCAAAAATAAATCACGAAAATCAGAGATGGTTTTAGCTACATAATCCTGATTATAAACTTTTTCACATCTTTATTACACAAGAAAATTTGTTTAAGTCTAATAAAATATACTGTGTAATAGTGTTATTAAATTTACATATTTAACGAAACTTTCGTATGGTACTAAATAATTAACAAAATACATTTTAAGATCAATCTTTATTATTTTTATATTAACTTTAGGTAATTCATTATACTTATATTGCGTATTTTACAGATTTAACTATTAAGAACGCTCACGCACAGGGATTCTTTCTTTTGAAGATTTTCACTTCACATGTAATCTAGTCTTTTTTTAATCATAGAACCGTATAAAATATTGTTTATCGCTTAAAAGCGTATTTTTATCATAGATATATAAAATCAAATTTCTGTTAGTTGCATATACATTTCATAATCGAGTTGGCCTTTTGCCTTGAAGCTGTCAAAATTAAAATAATATATTTGACAGCTTTATAATACTTACGGGTATGTCTACATTCACTATCGGTAGCGGACGCGATATTGCTACAATTTGTCAGAAGTAATTTAACAAAAAACATTAGAAAACTCAAATAAAAATTCGACATACATAGATTTTTGGGTTTAAGACGATTCTTCGCGATACCGGTCAAGCAATTTAACGTTAATGCAGATAATACGCACCCAAAAAAACTATCAGGAGAGTCAGAATGTAAACCAAAAGACGAATATTTTTGATTGGACAAACGACGTAACCCACCCGCCTTGGAGCAGAGATACTAGGCGTCGTCATTTCTATATTCTTATCCTCCTAAACAGTACTTCTTCTTCTTTTAGTGCCTCTCCATTACTGGAGGTTGGCCGTCAGTCTCTTGAAGCGTGTCTTGTCCTGTGCCAAATGCAGCAACTCTTCCGCAGTTGCAATACCCATCCATTCTCTAACGTTGCGAAGCCATGATTTCTTCCTCCTACCAAAACGCCGTTTACCCTGGATTTTACCCATTATAATTAATTGAAGGAGGTGGTGGCGGCCATGGCGCAACACGTGGCCCAGGTACGCAACTATCCGTTGTTTAATGTTCTGCAAAAGTTGTTTCGACATTCCAACTCGTTTCAGAACCTTCTCGTTAGAGACCTTCTGGATCCAGCTTATTCCAAGCCTGCGACGATGGCACCACATCTCAAATGCTTCTAAGCGCCGGCGGGTATCTTCATTAATTGTCCAAGCTTCACAGCCGTACAGAACAATTGGCCATATGTAACAAAGGAGAAATCGGACTCGGAGTTTAATGGTCAAGTGACGGCAGCACAAAACATTCTTCATTTTATTGAAAGACAGTACTGGTACTGTTCAAACGCGCGAAAGGGTTGATCTTGAAACATGAAAATAAACAGTCAATGGATGGTAGGATACACTTAGATAGGGGTAAGGAGGGACCTAGCTCCGAGGTACCTATTTGAAATCCTTATGGGTAGGGTACATAATGCAGATGTGCTAGAGAGATTGGCTGCGAGTACTGATTAACCACACTAGGCAATAGGCAACGCGGGCGCGCTTTGCTCAGAGATTCGCCAGTAATGCGTGCATTGCACACACTTATTAGTGTTGCAGTAGACTGACTTATTCAATATAACACCGAATTCACAAGAGGCGGTGTCCATTGTTATTAGGTTATTTTTTTCTATCGAATTAGTATTCCGTAGTAATGGTCAAACAACATAAATAAACAAATCTTAATCTGTATTGGCGTTGTGAATCGCGTGTTTACCACTCCACTGGGCAACAGCTTTTGGGGAAAGGTTTAAAACATATGTAAAAGATTACTTTCATTGTTCATATAGGTTTCCTAAAACAATGTATACTTAACAAGCGTGATATGTTTATTCCAAGAACTAATTTAAGGACTAATTACAATAATTAAACGGAAGTGCAATTTTTAATGACCGTATTGCAATATAATTATATATATTAAGCAATTCAACGTTCTATTTTTATACAATCAAAGTGGCGGAGAGATAATCTTTTCGAGCGACTGTTTTAAACAGCAATTTATAAAAATTTGAGAATTAAGCTATATCATGATACGATATACATAAAACATACATTTACCGCATTTACTACAGATGGGGGGGGGGTTGTTGGGATGAAAACCTCACGCTCAGAGTAATCATCATCACGAGGCAGACGTCATCGGGCGGAGAGGCAGACGTCCGTCGTTCCACAACTAAGCGTTTTTAGGCAGTTTTTGCCGCGCACCACAATTCCACCAGCTGCCTACTGAAGTATTTCCGAACCAATTCCACTTAGGGTCCTTTACTAGAACGTACCAATTCTTAAAAGGCCGACACTCGCGAGCCCACTGGAATTGAGAGTATCCAGGGGCGGTATCACTTAACATCAGATGAGCCTCCTGCCCGTTTTATCCCTGGTATATAAAAAAAAGAATAACTTACTATACCTACTTGTGTGTTCATGGAGTCATTTCCCCTGTAAATAAAAAATATCGAATACATTCTTAACCAAGTATGGTGGCTGTATCTGTAATAATGAAATCAATACATATAATTTAATTTATTATCTAATTTAATTCATTATCTAATCATTATCTATCATTATCTAATTTAATTCATAAATAAGATTATAACCCTTGTTTAAAATTCAAAGTTGCCAACTAAATTTAATTTACAACAATCCTCCAATTTACCGTAACTTTGTTTATGCTCTTAATGAGGTTTAAGTTTCTATTTAGTTATTATTAGTTTTTGAAGTTATACTTCTTTGGGCGCGTTATGAAAAATAGATGAGAGTGAAATTTTACTATGCGCGCGCACCGTGACACAAAATTAACAGAATGAAGTTGCCCACGGAAGATGCTACGGCATTGGACATAATTTAAAAACAACATTCGAATAATAATAGAATTTATGTTACACTTAATGTAAGAGAATAATAATAAATATTTATTTATTTCATTTTTCAAATGTAAACTGAACTTTATTGACTATAATGACTCCTTTTCCAGTCTTTGATTATTTAATTGTAATTAATTATTTGCAATGCAATCAAAAACTATTTTTAATAATGCCAAAGAAGTATAACTTCTTACGCGCGTATATAAGTACACGCACCCTTTTTTTATTTTGTGGTTGCTTGTTTAATTTTTTCCCTTGCTAGCTTGCTTATGTTCTAATATAATTGATGTGTATGTATATTGTATATGTATGTAAAATTTGTGATGTCATATATTCTTGTATAATTTTATGCATACACGTTGTTTTAGAACTTATAATAAATAAATAAATAAATTGTATACCTATCGCTTTTTAGGGAATAGCATCCCGGATCCACAATGAAAACTTCTTTATACGGGGTGGCTTCTCAATAATGGTCAGGACACACTCGGCCGAGCTGTTTGCAAAGAAAACTATATATCAATTTATGTGGGACAATCAGGAGTCTGTGTTGGAAACCACAAAGGCATTAGCGCACAACATGGTGCCTACTACCAACATGGGCGTGCTATTTAGTGTAAGTTATATAAACAAGACTGGCTCTTGTTTATATAATGTTATATAAACAAGAGCCAGAGACCGGACGGTATGAGTTTGATTCCATGGAAGATGGGCCGGGTGCTGGTATGGAATGCGACCTGTTTAGATACGCTGGCCCCTTCTCATCTACATGGAGCCAACAACAGAGCTGGTGCGGCTGAAAAAGCTAAATCATGCAAGTCTAGGCTCTGAATATGATTTTGTCCCATTCGGTGTCGAGACCTTTGAACCGTGGGGTTCTAGCGCTATAAGGCTTTTTAAGGAAATAGCCTGTCTTGTCTGAGCTAGCTGGCAGCTACCTCAGACAAAGATTTAGCCTAGCTATTCGAAGGGGGAACGCTGCCAGTATCTTCGGAACCTTGCCTAAAGGGACTCCTTTTAAAAATATATTTTAGATATTATATTTTTAGGCTAGTTATTGTTTTTTTGTCATTAATTAATTAATTAGTATATTATTAAAATATTCATAATTATGATGTGGTGAACTTTACTCAATAAATTCTTATTTAGTTATATAATTATGTGGTGTTGGTGGCAGATGCTTAGGATTCCCTGGACAGCTAAGGAAACAAACATGTCCATACTAAGACGGTTACAGCTAAAAAATCGTCTTTCGACACTTTGTTACCTAACCATGAGGTTTTTTGGGTATGTAACACGCAGAGATCCAGAAAGTTTAGAAAAACTTTTCGTGACTGTCTGAGAGGACCAGACTGCAGCTGGACCGAAGTAAAGGCTCTTACAGGTCTTACCATCCCCAGGCCTCTGCGCCTGCTTACCGTAAAGAGGGGAATGTGGAAGGTGTGCGGCGCCACTAACACGTCTTTCAGAAACGAAGAGTACATTAACATCACTTTTTATTTAATTTTCCTTAAGTTTTAATTTGAATTACATCTTGTGAAGGTTAAAAATACGTACATATTATTAGGAAAAGCATCGCAATTGTACGCAAAAATTAAAAAAAAACAACCAATTTTCAATTCAAAATACAGAGGGAAGTTCTCTTTTTGAATCTCTTCTCTTTTCCAAACTCTTATGGAGAAAAGTAAGACGCTACCGCGTGATTACCACCAATTTTTGATCATAATCATAATCACGTATGGTAATCATCATGCCAATGGGCAGGCTGTAGTCTTCCCTCCAAATAATATATTGGTCTGCCTTTCAGATATATACGGACTTTACAGACGATGTTACTGTGAAGATTGGACCTCAATGGGGTCATCACAATTTCTTCAAGATAGATCAATACGGGCGAAAATTACAGTTAAAGGGATATGATTTAAATGTATGTCAAAGTATTTTTATCTAGAAAGAAATCCTTTATTTGATTAAAGCAGACACACAATATTTATATTTTTATTTATTTATTTATTATCACTTCGTTGCATTAACTTAATAAAAATTGAACTAAAAATTGAATTATAATTATTATATGAAAAGGAGGGCAACTGGCAGTTAGTATATTTATAGTTATATATTAATATAAATTAAAGAAATACAAACATAATCAATCTAATCAAAGATTTGCTCAACTTAGTTTAAGTTGCTGTCACCATCTACACTCATTTTCAGAGCTATATACTAAAGAAAACAAAAACAAAATAACAATTAAAATAAAAAACAAGATTTTTTAAAAGCAGAATAAAAAATCAAATTATAAAAACAAACAAAATATAAGACAATGGAACTAAATTCCCAACCAAGCCGACTGACTTTCCAAAAGATAATTTTACATTTTACTTTAAAAACGTTTGCCTTGGATATCGTGGTTGTTCCAGATTTAGTTGCAATGTATCTAAAACTACAGCGAAAAGACGCTGTTTAGGGACAATTAGCAGTTTATGTATTTATTAAGTGTTAACAATTATGCTATGAAGGCTTTCTTGATTTTGAATTCTAATTAAAAGTAATACGTAGGTACTCCTGTGTTACTTTCACCAGGGAGCTTTTATTTCTGTTAATTAAATTGTGCATTCTTTTAAAGACCTGTCCAGATACCTTGACCGGGTCTACCGAGGGTGTGATGTATCATCAACGTTTGTCAAAAGATGATGTTCTTTTGTACTTGAGAAAGTCTGTATGCCGAGCCATGCCTTTGAGTTTTGATCGTAAGTTATTTTATATTTTCTCCATTTACTTTTCAAAATCTTAAATTAATTATAAAGCTTATAATTTATTTAAGATATTGTCTTTTGGTAGTATTAAAAAAGCATTTATTTGTTTAATTAAACTAAGAATACACGCGTGCTTCAATCAAGTATGCGCCATAGACAGCGTAATATAAAAACAAAAAAAACATGTGAGTGTACTTACGTATACACGCGTTAGAAGTTATACTTCTTTGGCGTAACAAGATTAAAATCTTTCAAAAAATTTATTCAACGTTTGTTGAAAAAACGACACTCACAATAGAAAAAAGGTATTCAATACATTTAAAGTTTTATTATAACGCATTATCTAGTTAAATAAAGAAATGGACATTTTGTATTTTAATATGTTGACTATGCTAACTTCAGGGTGTCGGTTTCTTGTGACGGTGTGCGCGCGCATCGTAAAAATTTACTGTCATCATTTTTCCCTAACGCGCCAAAAGAAGTATACCGTCAAAAATCTTCAGTATAAATTTATACTCTATGCCAATCAATTTAAGAAAAAGGTACAAATGTATTATTAAGCTATTATTTTGGTTGAGCATAATGAATTTTTACAGAGGAAGTGATCATAGACAACGTGCCCGTGTACAGATACAATCTGTCAGATCACGCGTTTGATAGAATAAATGGCACAGACTGTTACGATTCCAAACCTTCTTTACCGAATGGATTCAGTGATACTTCGAAATGCTACGACGGTGAGTTATTTATAAAGGGTCCAATTCCAATTGTACGTTATTTCTGTTGTATTTGTAGAGATATTTAGTTTTATTTTGGCGGGTAAATGTATAATTAAAGATGTAATTATATTAGATATAGTGCTACATTAGCTATGTGCTAGTGAAATAACTTTTAAACTCGGAATAATAGCTCCTGAACGCCCAAATAATTACTAACTACGATTGCGGTGGCCAGATCTAATCGAACACTAAAAATGGCCCTTAATTTCCCACAGCTTTCTAAATCAGTCGTTAACTAATTAGGCATTAAGATTCATAATCGAGTTGTGTTCTTTAGATATAACGTTACATTTATTTATCTATCTACCGAATTCTACGCCCCTTTTCAGCTGTAATTTATTTATTTATTTATTAAATAACAGCACAATGGCCAAACTTAGACTAAAAACAATAAACAATGTTATGAGCCGTTGGTCTTGGCTTCAGATTTTTGTAACTGTTTCTTGATAATTTTTTGTTAATATGCGATCAGCCTTCTGTTCTTGAATTTTTGGGTCTAATGTCGAAACGAACAAGTGTTAAAAGTGCACACGGAAAATCCATTGCTGCAGAGCCGGGATTTGAATGCAAGACCTCAGGTTTTATTGTCCATCCACACTCTCACAGGCGATGCGAGCGCGAGAGTGTGGTTGAGCTCTCGCCTCGTTTCTCGTGTTGCCTTCACATTTTGTTGTTAACTTCTGTACTGTAAGTGCGTCTTCCTAAATATAGAAGTTAAAAGTATAAAAAAAACAGAATTAATTCCAACATCTAAGAAAGAAAAAGCTTAAATAATATTTATACCGATATTTTTCATTTATATTCGTGATATAAACGCAAGGCATTATAATATTGGTAGGCACATAAAGTAGCTAACGCAGTTATTCCAATCACGTCGTTCTTGTAGTAGATGCAGCGAGCAACTAAATAAAGCGAGAGTGTAGAGTCTACTCGTACAGTCTCGGCTTGCTAATATTCGTGGCGAGGCCTTAGACGAAGCACCTCGTGAGACTCTGGAGCCGGCTTTAGATCTCGCTTAAGCCACTTGGTCACTGGCCACTGCTCATGTGTTCCCTTCAAGCCCGTATACATATCATACATTTTATCCAATACTCGTGTTTTACACAGGTTTGCCAATGGTTGCATCATACCCGCATTTCTACACGGGACATCCACCGAAGGACACCTATGTAACTGGCCTTATCCCGGACAAGGAAAAGCATAATTCTTATGTACTTGTTGAACCGGTTAGTAAATGAAGCAAAAAAGTGCCTACGTACAAAGTACACGTCAGAAGTGAAACTTCTTTGGCAAACAAATTTTTAAGTTTTGTTCATATTTATACAAATCTAAAACTTTAGATTTCCGAGACTTAGAGGGAGGGAAAAAGGAAGATATGTAAGGAATTGTCATAAAAATATTAAAAATGTCGAAAATTGATACAAATTAATAATTTATAACTTCGATAATAAAAACACGTGGCAATTTAATTTACAATTCGTCATTTCAGATTTCAATAAATTATTTTGCAATAAAATATAAAATAAGTTAATATATCATAAGTTCTCTTTACGAAATTTTAATTTTAAAAATTGAATTTCTTTGAGGTATTTCGCCCTTCTCACTCTCTCTCAATCGGTCTCAATCGCTCTCTCCTTTTTCTTCGACAAAAACGCTGCACATCTTCGTGACGTTTCATCCGTAAATAATTTACCCTGATACGCCTATAGAAGTTTCACTTCAAAAACAGACTTGTAAGACGCAATTAAAGCAGTAGTCTTAGAATTTGTAAGAGAAAAAGTTCAACTAACAATTAACTACGGTAAATAAAATAAACCTTATTTTATCTTGAAGTTATTTATTAATTATAAAAATACTATGTTCTATTTCCGACGAAGCAATTGTTGTTCCGGGTTGGTAAGCACAGAAGGCTGGGGCTTTTTGCCTAAAAACACCTGCGCTATTGGACTTTATTTAATAAGTATAAACGCTAAAGATTATACATGTGGAAGTATTCACACATTAAAAGCGCCTTCAAAATCCTGATACACACATCGGCGAACAAATGTTGTATTGCTACGAAGATGGGTTGAATGAATTGTTTCTTGATTGTTATACAACTTAAAGACATATTCAGACGTTTTCAAGACAGACCAAAGCTTAGGTTTCCTAGAAAAGCGGTGCCGTCTAACGGCCGTAATGTAACGTTGGGTGACGTCACCCATACGTTGTCTATGCATAACATCGGAGTAGGTTTTCTAGAGAACGTTGAGTGTCACAGTAACGTCAAATAGTGGTGCTATCATTTGCATTACGGCCGTCATAGCGGTGATAAAGAGTAGTTCCACGTTTTTCGCGTGTAGCGGTGCCCATATTTAGTTAATACAATAAGTGGAAACGTGACTTGGACGAGCGAACGGTACCATTAACGAACGTTATTAACGTTAGTTAATGGTACCGCTTCTCTAGGAAACCTAAGCTTTAGTCAATTATTAGAAAAATTGAAATTGAAATAAACCCTCGTTATCAGGAGGCTGAATGTTTTTCAATCTGTTTCATAGAAAATTTAAAACCTTTAAAGAGATTTACCGCGTTTCTTTACCGATCGCTACCAGTATTATAATTTTTAGTAGAAACTAAAAAGGTTTTATTATTTTTTTAGCTAACAGGAACACCATTCAGGGCTGTTGCCAGGATGCAATGCAACTTTCAAGTGCAAAACTTATCAGCGTTCAGTGATCCAAATTTTCATAAATTTTCCAACTTGATAATACCTCTTAGCTGGATAGAATATGTAAGTTAACTTATTTTCTTTGATCACGTGTCTTAGGGTAAGATGACATATTGAATTTGACATTGAAATTAGCGCTAATTCTCGCTTCTGTCAAGAAATAATCTTGATTTTTAAACGAAAGGTTTGTACTGGGGGCCTCATAGCCTAGCGGTCTTATTAAGTGGCAGCTAGGTGAGGGGTACCGGGATCGATTCCCGGTTCGAGGGCAAGTTTTAATTTAATTTAAATTTGTTCTCGGCCTTTGGGAGGGTTGTGCGGTACCGGGCGAGTGCTTAAACCGTACATGGAGGACACGGTCGAATTTCTAAGACAAGCACGAATTATAAAAATCTTATATACTTGACGCTGGCTAATGCACAAACCGTGCCAGAGCCATAAAAAAAAAGGTTTGTACTGTGGGAGCGTATTTAGACCACAAGTTTTGACAACAATTATAAATATCTTAATATCTTATCTGTTCTTATTAATGACATTTGCATGCCAATTTTTTAATATAATTAATCAACCTGAATGTACCACTCTCTTTGCAAATAAACGATTTATTATCTCTAAATTGATAAATAAACCAAATTCGACCTTTATTTGTCAGGAACTAAGACACTTTAGAGCATCTGATTTATAAAAACTAAAACAGTCTTGTACCGTGTAAAATAATTATTACAGGCACAAGTATATATGTCTCTTTTGGTAACAGGCATAAACAATTTGGAAGAATGAGACAAAATAGTACTTTAGTTAAATCTATAATAATTTGAAATTTATATTTGTTTGTTACAGAGTCAAGAAGGTCTTCCCTGGTATATAAAATACTTCATCTACTTTTTAGTAGTTATTCTACCACCCCTTACTACGCTCCTCCTGACAGGGACACTAATTTTAGGCTTTTATTTTGCCGTAAAACAAATTTATAGGAAAAAGTGCGTGCGAAGAAAATTTGTTACTAAAGTATTTGAAACCGAGAAATTTCTGAAAGTAACAAACTAATACAATGATCGAAATCCAATCCAATGGGGAACAAAAAAACGTACAATCAGAAATAAATAAATCAGTGGCGACTGGCGCTACAACCACTTTTAAGTCGGGGCCTCAGTTTTCTGAATCTGTTTATTTATCAATAAAATAGGCAAGTAGGTGATCAGTCTTCTGTGCCTGACACTCACCGTCTTTTTGGGTCTAAGACACGTCGGAATCCTCACGATGTTTTCCTTCACCGTTCGAGCGAATGTTAATGCGCACATAGAAAGAAAGTCCAATGGTGCATAGCTGGGGATTTAATGTACGACTTTAGGGATGAGAGTCGCACTCTGAAGCCACTCGGCCAACACTACTCTAATCTGCGAATATCAACAATACACCAAATATAAGTGGCCGAGATCACTAAAAAGCAATTTCAAATTTTGTTCTGGTTTTCTAATGAAATTGTGAATATTAATAGAAATTTTTTTTGTTTATGTTTTTAGTATAACTATACGTAGTTGAGTGGAAAACAACATTTGAGTGTACACTAGTAGGATAGTAATTAAATTAATTGAAAAAGGTTTCCAAATCGATGTATAAATTACGGTATTAGGAAGTTTTAACACTGGTATTGGAATCGTGTAATCGTGTACTGCTAAAGCCTATAGCCAGTGGCGTAACTATACCATCTGGGGCCCGTGGCAAATCTTTTTTCGTGGCAATTCTTTTGATGGGGCCCTATCAGTAAAAATCGTCCCTTCTGAGATTAATTTTCGAGATTTACTCAATTTAACACGTTGTATATGTCCCACTAATGGCAATAGGTCTCCTCTCTTAGGCGAGAGGGAATGGTCAGTAGTCCCCACGTTACCCGATGCGTATTGGAGACTTCACATTCATCCATAGAGCATTATATATCTCTTGGTCAGGGGCCCTCTTGGGTCGGGGGTCCGTGGCATTTTGCCAGCCCTGCCACCCTATTGTTACGCCACTGGCTATAGCTTTGAAATTACTTTAATGATTCGTGGAGGCAAAACAATAGTCCACCCACACGTTCATTGTGGTCTAGCACTATAACTCTGTCCTATCCCGATTCGCCAGACTGTCATACAGAGTTGGGGTGAAGTCTGTGTTAAGTATCTAATGAAAAACCTCTAAAGTTCTAGGGACTAAGAGACTGATAAGTGTTTTTTTGCTAGATTTTTATACTTTTTTATTTGCAGCAATATTATAGAAATTCATTAAATAATCCAGGGTAGAAGTTAAGAATATGTGTAATAGTTAAATTGCGGATCTAACTACCTTAGCACGAACATACACTTAACTTAATTGTGAACGTAATAGGTAGTAACATTTTGTATGGAAAACTTAAACAGCGCTCCGTGGGTGTATTTTGAACTAAATGGAAGAACAAACTTATATATTGTGGGGATATAATTTTATTTATAGGAAAAATAACTTAACTAAGGCCAACGATATTATAATTATGTAATACTATATGGAAATGGAATTAATTTTATAGGCAATCGATACATTCGAGCTGTCAGAAATTGACTAAATCAAATTGAAATATACGAATACCTACTGGAAAGATTTTGTCGTAAGCTTCGTACGAGGGAATTTATGATTTAAAGGATACTATTAAATGAACAGGATAGTGAGAGAACGCTAGTTTTAATACATACCGTGGGTACCTCATAAAACCTAATTGTGATACAATGCATATTCTTTCTACAAAAATGATTTACTAATTTCATACCTTTGATTGTTCCTAATATATTGTGTAATAAGTGAAAAATAAATATTTAGTGCATCCCTTGTTTATTTTTTCCCATGCAAAGTAACCGAATCATTTCTCTTGGCACACGCGAACCATGCAAATTTGCAGGCAACTTAGATTTGGACATAAAATTTTAGAAGTCTAATAAAAAGAGTTTATGAATAGGCTATTGGTGAAAAAAAAAATTATTTGTGAGATATACTTGCATGATTTATTGAATACACAATTTTAATAATAAAGTCTATTAGTCTAGGCGCTGAATCTATAAAGTTACTGCTGCTTGTGTCTTGGGAGCACAGATCGATGAATTATATTATGAAAAGCATTAAATTATACATTTTTCTTATTAGTTTTTATTTATTTTTAACACTTCGTTTCAAGTTTACAGAAATATAAATTTAAATTATTATTAACAATTATTTATTATTAATTATAAACTGGCGGCCTTATCGCATTTGAGCGATCTCTTCCAGGTAATACTGACAATTTTAATTAGATTAGGTAAGCGCAGGAAGTGCAAAACTACATAAGACATATCTATTATAGTTATTTAGACAATATGAAACTATGAATGGAAAGTAAAAGTACAAAGCAAAGCAATAAAAACATATGTAAACAAGTAAAAAGCGAAAGGGACAATACTAATAAAAGGACACACGAAAAGGAAAAAGTGCACATGAATCACGACAATTTCAGATCCGTTTGTACAAAAGTTAAGGATACGATGTGGACGGGTAATGCTTGTACACACACACAAAGGATGAATGAGAAGGAGTTAAGCGGATGGGGGCGGGAAGTGAACTCCTTAGTGAGGCCACTCCAGAGATCTTAAAGGAATCGCTAAGAAAGGAAGAGTTATGAGATAGGATTTCAAGGATGGTTTTCAGAATTCTAAATCGTTTTTGCGATAGTAAGGAGTTTTAGGATTAAACAGGATGGAACACAAGAGGTGGAGAACGTGAGCATCACGTCGCTGACGAACCTGCCTAGCCGCTTACGGAACGCAGAGATGTGGTCGACGGTCGTACTTTCTTAGGCCGTATAGAAAACGGATAAAAAAAAATTTGAGCTCAGCTGAGACTGAATTGAACGTAGATTTGAAGATCATCCGCGTATAAATAAACATTAGATGAAAGACGGAAAGTTGATGTGTAATATAAATATTAAAGAGAAGAGGAGAAAGTGCGCCGCCCTGCGGAACACCAGATTCAATCAAACTCTACTGAAGCAGTAACTGGTTTTGATGCACTGTCAGCTGCCATTAAGAAAGAGAACCAGAATAAATATTAACAGGCCTAAGTTACATCAGTAGAATTTCGTAGTTTATTGTATTAAGTGTTGCTGTGATCTAGCAGTGTGAGATTTCATGTTTTTGTTTTTGGTCCATTTCTTCGGGAATATCATCGGCACCTCTGGCCAGCGCAGTAGTCGCACTATGGCCGGGACGAAACCCAGACCGAAGTGGATAGGAATGGGGATGATAAATAAATCCATGCTTCCACATTTGATAAAGTGTTTAACAAAGTAGTGTTTATATTAATTAATAATTCTGTAGAGTTCATACTTTTGCAATGTACCTAAGCCAAGATTATATTATGTGCTACTCAAAATAAAATCTCAATAAAATAGTTAAGGTAAAATAAAACTCTATTTGTTAAGAATAATATTTATTGCATAATGTAATACTTAATAGCTATACTTGAAATTTTATTCATTACTTGGCCAGTTCAATTTTACTTTTTACTTGATTGATATTTAAAAATATAAAAGGTACAATCATGTGTGTCTACCTAAAGGTTGTTTCATATATAACATTAAAGAAAACGAAATTTTATCCCACGGCAGCTAACAATAACTGCGCCAGGTCCTCTCTAGGCGATCTAGCCACTAACTTCATAGTAACTCCAGCGCTGCTCGAAGCAATTCTTGCCCTGACCAAAACTGGAGCACCTCCTCTAAATATACCCCCACCTCGAATTTCCTTAACTGCATCACCACTAATCGCGTTCTTGGGTAACCCAAGATGGTCACAAACTGCTTTAGCAGCTTCGTTAATATCATGTTGCGGTAGAACGAAGGTGTCGGTCGCTTCAGACGCTCTCTCTGCTCTCTCCCAAGCCTGTTCCCAATCATCTATACCCGCTTTTGCTCGTAATTGGTCTGAACAACCCATCTCAAATTCTTCCAAAGGATAGGAATCAGCGTAACCATCTCCTGCATCAGCAACACCAGTGTTTGGATCATAATCACGAACAACAAACTCCAAAGTGGCTCCAAATGTCCCCAAGCTATCAAAGTACGCTGATGGATATTCCAAAACGAGGTAAACGCTGTCTGGTTTATCGTACACCAATTTCTGACAGGGAACAATTGTTTTTATCTCATAATCCTGAGGTGGTTCCAACCGAACATGAACCTGTTCCAAAATTTGGTCATTCAAAGTGTTTGTGCATTCAAATTGTAATACAACATGTCGGGCGTAAATGTGCTTGAGTAAGCGTACTCTGTACTCTGTTTCTGCTTCAGTCAAATCAAAATGCGGGACAGTTTTGAATAGTGGGCCAAGTCTTTCAATTCCAGGAATCTTCGCCAACTGTTCTGCGTAGATCTCTTCAATAGAGACCTGAACGGGCTTTCTAACCTCAACTTCGACAATGTCTTCTTTAGTTTGTTTCTCTTCTTCAGTTGGTATTGCCATTATATCGAACGGTTCCTCTAATTTGGCCTCGATATGGTCACGAAGAGCGCGTTCCAGCAGCACTGGATTTGGTTTGTGAATATTTACAATGTAATCATTGATCAAATTTGGATCACCAGTTTCCAAAATAGCGTTGTAAAGAATCGCCCTATCGCGAACTTCATCTTCGTCATCCAATTCGCATCTTGATAACAATACTTTGATGTTTGGCAACAGCTCCGGTCTTTGAGCTCCAAACTGAGCCACTGCAGAAACAGCTGCAGCTCGAACAGGCCCAGACTCAAGAATAACCCTATTATATATGAATCGTATATAGCGAGAAGGCTGACGCGATTTAGGTCCTTCACGGCCTAATAAGTGTAAGATTCGAACAGCCAAAGTAGTGTGTTCACAATCCTCAATAAATTCGCACAGGTGTGCCAGTCCCGTCTCCTTAGCATCAGGGTTTTCTTCTACAAGGGCTATAATGGCATCAGCTATTGCTGCTTTGTACTCAAGGCCACCTTCATCTCTAAGCATACCAGCAAGAAAGGCAGCCAATGATTGATGTTTACGTGGGAACTTTGTGCATAATCGTCGAATGGCTTTGACAACCACAATTTTGAATTCATCTGATATTTCAGAAACAAAAGAGGATATCTGCTTCATAAGCCTATCAATGGAACTTTCAGCACCTGTAGCAAGAAGAGTGGTTACAGCTAATGTAGCCACAGATCTGTTTGGATCTGAAATAAGATTTTCTAAATCCACTGTGCAAGCAGCTACAGCTGTAGGATGTTTTGCAGTTAGTCTTGCTAGAGTTCTAGCCCCAGCTAAACGCAATGATGCCTTTGAAGAACCACAGAATAATTGTAATACAGATACAGCTGGTGCTAAGTCTCTGTCAGTTTTTCTTAAGTTAACAATAGCATGAGCTGCTTCATAGTTTACCATTTCATATTTATGACGAAGGCAGCATTCAATAAACTCCATGTATGGTTGTGAAGCATCAGAATCATCTTCTTCTACAAGTTGGGCAGCCAGTCTTATAAGAAGACAAAGTGCATAGGGGGATTTAATGGGAGACTTAGCCAAACGAGTAACGAGCTTGACAGTAGATAACTTGTCATTTCTTCGAGTTGCTGCTACAAGTCCAAGAGCATGGTAGGATACCATAGCATTGTCAGAGTTGATTCCCTCCTGAAAATAAAATATTTAAGAAAAATTAGTACAAACCAACCCGGTTTAGGAACATCATTGATGCAATGAATTTTTTTATTATAGCTACTAAATAACCAAAGGATTTTTCCAATTTTGTATTGTTTACAAAAAAAATCATGAAATGTTTGACCACATTCAAATGATGAAGTACATATTTACTTAATGTTTCAGGCAGTTATGACGATTTGATAAATCACAAATGTGTATTGTTTGTTCAAATGTTCTTTATTTTCTAAAACTTGTAAATAAATAATTTAAGGTCACACTGTCTTAAATAGATTGTATTACATTTACACAAGATGATTCTATTAAAAGTATTAGTATCTGTAAAGAATAAAGGAGCAACACTAACAATATACTAAAATTCACAACAACCTTCAGAGCTCTAAATTAAGGGATAAAATTAATTAACTAAAATATGGAGCATATTTCAAAATTCTTATAAATATAATTATATTAGAAAATTGGTCTAAATGGCTTATCAAAAGATAAGATGTTAACTTTACATACCTGTGCTTCATTAGCCCAGCGTTTTACTAAATCTGGAGCTGTAGAAGAGAGGTGTAGTGCAGAGACTAACGCTGCAGAACTAACAGCTGGATTCTTATCAACAATTGCCTGTTTCATGTACCGTTCAATTGCCTGAAGCATTGTACTATCAGTAATACTGCAGAGTGCTCGAATTGCAGCTGCGCGATACAAGTCCTCCTTCCCAGTCATATCTTTTGTTAGCGACGATGTTACGATGATCACATCCTGGGCTAACTTACTCAGCTCTTTTATGCAAAGATACACCATACGTCTTAACATTACATCTTTCGATTGAAAAAGCTTTGTAGTTGCGAAAAACGCATCTGTTGCCTCTTGGGTGGTTAATTTTTCCCCTTGATTGAGTAAATAAAGAATTTTCGACAAGATATGGGAACATTTTCGTGGATTAACAGGAGTTTCGTTAAAGTAACGCGCCTCTTGTAAAATGATTGTTTTGTCGAGATTTTGATATGGGTTTCCGCCCGTATCTTCTTCTTCTTTCTTATCACGTTTGAACGAGCTCATTTTGAGCTTTTTCTTAGGCAATAATATGAAACTATTTGGTGCCGACGAATACAGCTTTTCCAATACACTTACACGTCACTTAAGTATGCAATGTCCACTATCAATGTCAAATCAAATGACATTACTGATTACAGCCACAGAATAAAAATATTGACATGGAGAACTAATACGCATTCCAGCAACATTCTACTTCTTTATAATCAATATTCTTTTGAAAACTTCCGCTCAATGACAATACTAATAAGTAATATTATTTTCGAAGATTTGGCATAATTTTACTTTATACTTATATTATTAATCTATTTTAATTGATTTTTTTTCGAGTTAGAGCTACGAAACCAACCGTTGACAAGTTATATGCTTTAATACAATGTAAGGTTATCAAATTTAAAATATATGGATACACCATTGAGCCTTAATTAAATTTTATTAGATAATAGTATTAAATTTTCTCTTTTCAAGAATCTTTTCCTTTAAGTTACACGAAGTCCCTTGGAGATTTGGGGGAAAAAGTAAATTTTAAGAAAACTATTGTAGAAGCATGAGTAATCAATAAAAAACCAAATATAGAAATATTTACATTGTATTTATCATACTTAGATTGTTAAAACAATCGGTGTTGCAATATTTAAACCAAACAAAAGTGAAACAATAAATCTTTTTACATTTATAACTAAATTTTTTAAATATCGCAACAACCTTAAAACATAATATGTACATCAGTCGATTAAAAAAAGTTTGTGAAAGACTTGGTTCTAGAACAACTTAAAATAATATAATTCCTATATCTAATTAGAATGACTGTTTTAGTATTAAATTATATCACCAAGTCTGACATTGTCAGTTGATGATTGGTTTGATTCACATTCTTACACAAATTTATCTATTATTGAAAATTCATCATTTTTTGGCTATGAGTTACAAACTAATATTAATGTCACTAAAAAAAGATTACTCAGGATTTTAAATGAATATCAGACTATGTTTCACTTAGGATACAACACATTGTTTTAATAAATGTGATATATATTATATATTCTTACTCATTGGCTCTGAGTGTTGAGGGACTCTAGGTATATGTATAATTTTTTTAGGTGTTGGTGGCCGTAATAATTAATATTAGGAATCTTTACATATCATATTTCATCACAGAGCTGTCAAGGTCTAAATTTGCCCCTAAAACTTTGGGCTTGAAATTCCATATCTTTTAAAGTGAGATCTATTAACTGGCTCATTTACATAAGTAAAATAAAAACTATCTTGAATGCATGGACATGTATTTCTATAACACTTAACATCTCATGACATGGATTCGATTATAAAAATCACACACTAAAAACTGATGTTGCACCTCCAAAGGCTTGAATTTCATTACATCCATTATTTTTTTACAGATAGAGTGTATTATAAAAAGGCTTCATGTGAAATCTTAAAAACAAGGAAGAAAAATAAGATGTTGAATTATATTAATAACATTTTGTTTATGTAATAGGAAAACTAAATAATTATAAGTACCTTCCTTTGATCAAAACCTAAAATGTTTTCATTTTTGAGTGTCACTTAATAAAAAAAACGAAATATCTTTCACAATAATTTGGTTTGCCTGAATATCTTGATCTACAATTCACAGTGTTGACATTTGACATTACTATAATACATATTATATACACTTTCTTAAACCTGTATATATTTTCTTTGAAAATTGTATTTAAAATTGTTTTGCCATTAATTCATAATAAAACACAAACTAAATAAATATATCTATTGCAAGATAACTACAAAATATTTGTAACTCTTAAGATGGAATTAAGCATAAATTGTTTAAACAAAAAACTAAACTAGACAAAAGTTGGTTCTTCTTAAGTGTCCAAAATTTTTAAAGTTTTTTAGAAGTTAAGGTTAATTAGTTCACTTCTACTGCAAAATATTTTAATGATCAGTAAAATTTACAGTTTATTCTGTAAATTGCAATTTAAATTGTTGTAAATCACAAAAGTATGATTATTGCTTTGATATTATGAACACAATAATATATGTTGTATTTATATAAATTTATGGTTGAATCACATCTTAAAAGTTCAATCAGTCAACATTGGTGACTTCACCACACTTTTAGTGTTAATAAACTTTGTATCACATAGTAAACTATTTACGCATATCAGTGAACCTGGAAGAAGTACTCTTAGTACAAACAAATAAGTAACATTAAGTATCAATGTTAGTTCTCAGCAGAAAAGCTACATTCAATAGGTATTAAAACACAATAAATAAAACCTGTTTTGTTTTTTAGGTTCATAGAGTTAAAAAAAATTTCGAAGTATTTGAAATTGTTGTTTTCTTGTTTGAAATTGAATTGTTTTTATATTACCATCATTTGTGTTAAGAGTACTTTTCTAATAAATAAATGGTGGTAATTAGAAAATTCAATTTTTATTTCAATTAAATTTAAGAGCTACTCAAAATGAATGCCACATATTACCACAGGCAAAGCAATCATATTTAAGCTTTTATACTTAATTGACATAGATGTTAGTTAAAGTATACATTTAATTAAGCTCGAAACTAGGTTTAAGTTCTGTAAAACATTTAGGTTGATGCATCCTATTTACAAACAGTTACGAAAAGTTGTTTCACAAGATCATTTTACATATGTTAATTTTTTTTATTGGATTTAATAAAACATGACATATACAATAAAATTTTTTGTCAATATTGGTGACACACAGCTGAATATATTGTTTTTTTATTTATTCAATATTTTATAAAATGATTTAATGCTTTTTGTAACAATTGTGTCTTAGAATTACAGACAATTGAAACAACTCAACATATATTTGATGTATCACATGACTGTAATATTTTTGTATATCTAAATTAAAAAAAATAACACTTTTACTCACTTGCATTCACAATATATTTAGTCCATATTCTTACACCTGTATCACACATTTAAATTTCAGTTATTATTGTATTAGTTTATTTTACAATTGTTCTATCTTTATTAGAATTCAATTGTAATCCAACATAACCTGAAATTGATGTCCATTCCAAACTCCATTTACACTTCACTAAATACAAAAGTCTGTACACTTTACACTTCACTATCACTTAAGTCTCATTCATGTGTGTAGAATATTAGTTGAGGGTTAGAATCGTCCGGCGACATTTCCAACTGGACGAATTGAGGTGTTGTCCGGGCTGAATCATACGCAGGCCCACTGTTGCGAGATAAAGAGTTTCTTGATCTAAAAAAAGGACAGATATTAAGCTGACTACTTTGGAAATATATTAAAGCAACAATGTTTTTCACATAAACTTGATAGATGCTTGAAGAACTGTAATGAAATAAATACTTATGGAGAGCAAGTCTATTTAGGCATGTAAATCAGTGCCTTACAAAATAAATAAAAATATATTTTTTTTTAAATTGTTATTTTTACATTCTAGCTTTGCTGGCGATTTTTATTATGTCTGCTAGCATTACTAACCTTTGAAGATCACTTACTTTGCTTTGGCATGGGTCAATATATGCGACTTGAGGTTTGTACTTTGCGCGAACTTTTTATTACACCCGTCGAATGGACACACGTATGGTCGATCACCAGTGTGAATGCGGACATGGGTTCTGAGAAATGGAAAATTTAATGTAATAAATCATGACATTGATTTGGTTTTCTGCAAGTACTACACACATAAACACTCCGTACGTTTGATGTAAACTCAAAACTCGTTTCGAATGTCTGTTAAATCTGTTTAACTAGTTTTATTTATATTTACTAATAGGAAATTTAATTATAATTTAAGAAATATCTATATTAAGGCGTTCTGAATTCAAAAAGCGAGGGGTATTCAATATTTGACAATTGTTTAACTTTTGGGCAATATTATATTTATGTATTACTTTATTACTAAAAATTTTTTCTATAGACTGTAAACAGTGCTGAATATTTGCTTAAACATTTGTTAATTTTTGGTATTGAATCCAAAATATGTCATTTGTTTTTTTTATAATAAGTTTTTAAGTCCTGAATTATTTTGAAGGTACCTTAAATTAAAATCTAGTGAGAATCTCTTGCCACATCCCTCAAAAGTGCATTGAAACGGCTTCTCACCAGTGTGAACCAATTGATGACGTTTTAGTTTCGAGCTTTCTACAAAAGCTTTCCCTGTAAAAATAATGAATATAAAGTACTATTAAATATGTGATTTATTATTTAAGAGAATGATGGCATTAATGTATCTATTGAATATGTACTAAACTACTAATAATTATCGGTAACAAAATATAACTGCAGCAACAAAAGTTTTCTTTAGCTCTTGCAATTAGCATTTATAATTAGGTTAAGTTATAATTAGGTGCCTAAATAATATATTAGACAAGTTACTTTGAAAACAACAATCAAAAAGTTAGTGCAGTACACATACCACATTCTGCACAAACATGTACTCTTGGTCCGTGTGTATGTAAATGTTTTCTCATCGCCGAATTGTCTCTGAACATTTTCGCACAGCCTTTATGTGGACAAGCTGAAAACAAAAGAGAATTGTGAACAAATTTTTAAAAGATATAAAACCTTTGCCTATGGTGTAGCCAATATATATTTAATATTAATTATATATAAATAATTTTTATTTTTTACCTATAGTTCTATCTGAGGATTCAGGAGACGGTTTCTTCAGTCTTATTTTGTGTCCGGGTCGAGCAAATTCCGCCAGCTGCTTGGGGTCTGATAAATCTAAACCTAAAAAAAAATTAAATACTAGGTGTAAAGTAACTTTTTATTCTTTTGAATGGATACTATAACAATTATTAAAGTACACTCCATTTCTGTACATCTTTGTTAATGCAAAAAATTCATCTAATGTATTACTTATAAAAAATTAGATTAATTAATAAAATAATAATATAGTAAATAAAGAAAACAAGCATCTAAGCCTAGCCTTAAGAAAATATTAAAGAATTACATAGTAAATACATATATAAAATGTTTTGAATACCTGGCATAGCATCATTTCCTAGTACATTCTTTTTACCAGTCATATATTCTGTGTAGTCTGGATCTGGTTCTGGATTTGATCCGTCGTCTGAAAAGCAAAGTACATATCTTTAAAATGGATAAATTGAAGGAAAAAGTAATATCATAGCATTTCTATGATTACACTATATATTATGCGGTTGACCAATCACAATCAAATTAAAATAGGAAAAGACAGGAAAAGCATAGAGTAATGCGCACAGTAAATTGCACCGAAGTTAGTTAATGCAAGAATTTCACTTTGCTGAAACCCTAAATATAAAAAAAACTGTGCTAATAATAGCCCGGCACTGTATACTCCTGTTTTCACCAGTCCTTAAGAAATCTTACCATCATCCTCGCCAGTAGCCCACATAGTGACAGAGAATTCTCCTTCCATAGTCTTAATTTGAACCTGCTTTTGTTCCCATCTTCTTGCAGTGCCTCGATTACTTGTGCCATCCATTAAACCCATTGGTACTTCACCTGTAAAAGAAATACAATTTTAAATAACAACTAGTAAAAGTTATATGTCTAATAGTTACTATACACCCCCAATTACTTTATGACGTGAAAAATAATCAATGAGACAAAAATACTTCACATATATATTTAAAAATAAACTCACTTTACATGTTTAGACTTACCTATTGGCATTAAATGCTGAATACTTTGTGGTTGTGTGCGTGGCCGCCCACGATTTACTCTGAAAATTTTAATTTTTGTTTTATTACAGGACCTTAGGGTTAAGACATTTATTTGTAATTAATAAGTATTTTTGTTTTATCTTAACTTACTTCTGATTAGGATGTTGTCAATCATATATTTCCAACACAAAACAATACATTGATAAAGACACAAGCATGATACAAGTAATTTTAGCTACTTATTTTGTTGTGTGTTTCATGATAATGTACACATTTCCAGCTTATGCACCTCACTAAGTTTTAACACAGAATATAATAACTACCAAATCAAAATAGATACAAAATCACATGAAGAGTTTGTGTTACTTAACACAGCATAATAAATACACTAACGATCCTGAGAGTTTTAAAATTTGAAACATTTGGTAACATCAACTAGCAAGGTACATCAAACAATTCAAACATACCTATTATTATTATTACTTGTAGATGCGGGTGTGTACACTGAATCATAGCTAACTTCACTGGAGTTATGCAAAGGGTCATCTCCTGCCATCCCTGGCAGGATAACTTCTTCACTACCAACTGTAATTTTATAATCTAAGAAAGAAATATGAAATGAGTAGGGTAAATTTATCAAGTGTATGAAAGTTTAGTGAATTTATTCCTTTTAAAAGATCTGTATGGAGTGTGGTTGTACCCTGAATGTATAACTTGTAACAAATATACAGCAAGGCTATTCAGTAAACCAATTTTTAATGATTAATGACTGGCATTGGTACTCTAACAAAGTGCAGATGTCAGATAATACTGTAATCGTGCTGATATTGCAAACATTACATTCTAGTATCTGTCCCACACTTGATTAACAGGTACTTTTAGTTATAAAATTATATCTTTTTAACAATGGAACTTTATGCAATGCTATAACATAGTTTTTGTAATTCAACTTAATGCTACATATCAGTCTGTAAAAATACCTTCTTCCAAATGCTGCATCCCAATGACTTGTTCCTCAACTTCCTCATACTGATCATCAGTGATATACTCTTCATATTGACTTGTTTCTATTTCTTCATACTGAAAATATAATAATAAATATATAAGATACTTATTATACTTATAAAAGATTTTTGTTAAAGAGACATTGTCCATATCAGAAAAGCAAGTGCAAAAGAATACACTAAATAACAAAAATTAAATAGACTCTAAATTTAGCTACAATTGATACCCCAAGAGTAAATTTACCTTGACACCCACTTGATCATCGTTATCAATTTCTACCATTGATCCATGTGAGTTTATCTCTACTTCGCACATAATCTCCTGGTTCATCATTTTTCATTCAATCTGAAATTAATATTTTTTATTATTAATTTATATTCATTTCAACACTGAAATATATAATAGATAATATACTTGAAGGATAGCTGCTGCAGGAGAGATCATTTTTTAAATTAATCAAATGCAACCTTAAAAGGCTTAAACTCAAGTGTGGTTAAGAATGTACGTGTTTAATAATTATTAATGTTTGTAAATAATTTATTTTTCTCCTTGATTAACACTCGCATTACATCAATTAGCAAACTTCAAAAGGAAGATTTATGTACAGTATATAGAGAGCAACTTTTTAAATACTACATATAACTTCCTTATGATTTACTTAAAATTAGCTGATACCTAAAACAACTGTTTCAACTATGTATTTATAGTGTATGTTCTTTTCTAACCTAATTCATCCAAACTCTTTGAGTGTAAATAACAGACTAGACTTATCAAACAAGTTTAAAAAGAATTTGTTTTTAATACAATACAATTATAAAAAACATGAAGCAAAAAGAAGTTGGTTTCCTATTAGCTTTACATGACACAGAAATATAGAATTACCTGTCTTACATGAAATTTGAGACATACAAAATATCAACAGCTTATTTGCATATTATTATTGTCATGCCGTTTATTTTTATCTAGAGCGGTTTGTTTTTAAAGTTATCGAGTACGAGTAATGGGCGTAACACTTCAACGCCTTTTGCTTCTTGATATCCAATTACAAACGTACTTAAATGAGTAATTTATCATCCCTGAGCTTTACTTTATTTAATTAAGCGTAAAACGTTGCATTGAAGTAGGTATTTTAATAGAAAACTGGATAAATTTATAGCAGGTGCAGTGCTACCGGCCGGGTCAATGAAATCAAATGATTTTACAATAATTATATAAAACGACCACGCCACTTAGCGGTGTAACACAGCCTCCGGTCTATGACCTTCATATACTCATAATAACAAATCACCCAAACACGTAAATACAGAGAAATTTGGAAACACTTGTTTGTTATGTCAAAAAGTAAGATTGTTTTCGGTAGAAGAAGTTTACCTTTATTTAGCTTTGCACAAAAGCTGAACGGCCCCCTAAACACAGTTATGGGCTGCTGCGTAGGCACTGAATTTTTCTAGGTAATTTTCACAATAATTTACTCTACACACTTCAGTGAAAACAAGTACGATATTTAGTCCTCAAAAATATTTGAAATTTACGCGAAAATGTTTATAAAATATGTCTGACTAAACATGGCGTCCAAAGATGTCCGACCAAATTCAATATGGCGAAACAAAATGGACGCCCGCTCGTACCGCTGCCAGTGCGAAGAAAAAGCGAATTTCGCCTTTGAAATTTGAATGTTGAACTCTTCATTCAGTGTTACCACCAAAAAAAATCAAGTTCTCGAAACAAAAACGGGAAATCCAATAAAACAACTGTTTTTACTATATTGGGTTAATATAAATAATATCACAGGATTCTTCACTCCATAAGTATTACCAAAATTGTTAAATAAAACGCACTTAATGTTGTATCTGACAACAGCTATAACATACTATTAGCTGTCAGGAATCAGTATCGTTTTCAAGTTGACACTTGACATTTAGTCTTCCTCTTCCTGTGATTATTCAACTAGTAGACTGGAATTCTGCTGAATTTTGAAAATATAAATTTATTAAACAGGATGGCTCTCAGGTTATTTTCAAAAGTAAGGGTGATCCCGGATCTTCGAAATGCTGCTTTTGCTAGCTCAGCCGCAGCGCCTGCCGAACTATCCGATTTTGATATGCAGCATAAGTCCCCAGTTATTCGTAAGCAGCAATTGATCCCAAAGGCCCATTACGGGGGTCGTCATGCTGTTACCATGCTTCCAGGAGGAGGAATTGGCCCCGAATGTATGGGCTACGTACGGGATATTTTTAGGTAAGTTTAAATTCATATCATGTATCGTCTTCGTCATATAAAATTAGCCTATCACGTGAGGAATCGTAAGGATACTATCAAATTTCACATCTACTTGTTAATCGAACATTGAATTCATATTTATATTGCGTTACTAGTCATTTTTGTTCATAATAATAAATTTCTTCATAATAATAAATTTCTTCATGATATAATTTAATTTATTGTTTTGTCCCATGGTATTCAATAAAGGACAATGTAAGGAGAACTAGCAACAATACTGGTGTTTATTAAAAAATCTTAGAGGGTGTTATGTTGCAAATTAATATAATAGTAATAAAACATTCTGTTTATTTACTAGGTAAATGCTTGAAATTCCTTTTAAATAAATGGAATAGCGATGCTGAGATGTTGTTATAATAATAAATAGTAATAAGTTTCTTAATATTAATTTATTGCTTTTCTTTTCAGGTATATTGGTGCCCCTGTTGACTTTGAAGTCGTAGATATTGACCCAACAATGGACAATGACGATGATGTTCAATATGCTATTACAACCATTAAAAGAAACGGTGTTGGTCTCAAGGTAAAAAATTTCATTATTTGTTTTCATGAACAAGACTCAGGTTTTTTAAATCATATTTTAAATTTGACTATGGATAATTAATGATTGAGTAGCCTTTTGTTCCAAGATCATTTATTTTTAATAAAAAACATAAATTGTTGAGTATAAAGAATAGAAAATAATTTGCATTCAAAGTATTAAAGGTATGGATTTTTTAAGGGCAACATTGAGACAAAAAGTGAGGCTGCATATGTGACATCACGCAATGTCGCACTCCGTAATGAGTTAGATATGTATGCATATGTTCTTCACTGCAAGTCTTTTATTGGAGTGCCCACCAGACATAAGGATATTGATATTCATATTATCAGGTAATCTTTGTATTCAAAACTTTCTGTATGTTAGTAAAAATAATATAGGGAAATTTTTTTTTTAAACTTAAGAGTAATAAAACTATTTCAGGCAAAACACAGAAGGTGAATATGCTATGTTGGAACACGAGTCAGTTCGAGGTGTTGTTGAATCCATGAAAGTAGTGACGGCTAGTAACTCTGAAAGGGTTGCAAGGTTCGCATTTGAATTTGCTAAGAAAAATGGCAGAAAGAAGGTAATAAAACTTTAAAATATTTTATCGGTATATAATATAAAATCTTATTTTAATAACTGTCAGAGGTGAAATAATATTTTTTTCGGAAATTAAATTTAATATCATTTAAGAGATAAATTAAATAGTTTCTGGGCGTGTTGAGAATAAATAAATAATTTTCTTCTTGAAGCAACATTCATTATATGTATTTGCTACATACAATATGAGGTAACCTAATATATAACCGTAGAAAGGACACAGGGTAAACCTTTATTCACCTAACTAAGAATTTGACGACACGGAGCATAGGTCAAAAAAAGCTTGCGACCAACGTGCAGACGACCGGTAGGGCTTATCGTACTTGCATCAAGCTATCGACGTCAAGCTAACGAATGGCACAACCTTGCTGCGAAATTGAATTGAGAAGCCGCGGGCTTCTATCTGTGCGTTGTGTGTACGCGTCTGTGTTTGTGTTTACGGCAACGCGAATGTGTTGCTATACAGTAGTAAATATATATATTTTTTAGTGAAGGAAGTTTCTAAATATTAAATTTAAAATTAGTCAGAGCATTTTACAAAAACATGTTATACAAAAACAGGTTAAGGTAAAAAACCGCCTTCACCGGGGAAGGCGAGGACCTTTACTGCGTACTTCGCTCACACCAGTGAGCTTCCGTCCTACCCTTCCAAAATACGCCCATTCAGGCCGAGCTACGCTCTCCAAAACAGCCCGAGCCGAGCTGTAAAGGCCCTTAAGGCGAACAGCGAGACTCCATTCCAAAAAAAAGAGCATTTTAGTGCGAATTTCTCATTTCTAATCTCTAGTGGACTAATTTAAACTCAACTTTACAAAGCATAATTTTTTTTTAGGTTACAACTGTCCACAAAGCCAATATTATGAAGTTATCTGATGGTCTCTTTTTGGAGACATCGAGACGTATGGCAGAAGAATACCCAGAGATTGAACATAACGACATGATTATTGACAATTGCTGTATGCAGCTTGTGGCTAAGTGAGTAAAAAATAAACTTAAAATACAAAAGTAATAAATAATTATGTGTATGGACTTAATAGCACTAGTCCGGCTCAGATATATATACAGAATTTGTTTCATAATCATTTGTTTTTTTTTCTAATTGACAACAATTGATAATAAAATAATATGCACCAATGTTTTTATTTTTTTAAAGAGAAAAATACATTTCAGACCTCACCAATTCGATGTGATGTTAATGACAAACCTGTACGGATCTATTGTGTCTAACGTGGTGTGTGGTCTTCTGGGAGGGGCTGGTCTACTCTCAGGGAGGAACTATGGCGATCACTATGCGGTATTCGAACCTGGTACTAGGAACACTGGTAAGTTTTAAAAATAAAAATTAAGAACATTAATTATATGTACTTATAATTTGGATTTACACCAGTTTACACACAATTCAAATTACAGCTTGTATGACGAAAACGGTGCCATATTTATTCTTCTTGATAAATACCCAAAAATTTAAAGTGACAATACCACATGATAAAAATATTGAAGCCTGCAAGGTCTTCCATAAATTTATGATTTAAATTTTTGTTTAGTTTAGTTGTGATATAGGCTAGTTAAGAGCTTGTTGCAAAAAGTTAATCCAAGGCGTAGTTTAATGTAATAAACTTTGTATGTATCTATATCAAAATGTATAGAATTCTTTAATCTGTGACGTAAACTAATGCGAAGCATAGATAACAAATTCATGGTCTGTTTCCAAATATTGTTAAAACACGACACGAAATAGTTACAGATTAAGGATTCTTAACAATAAAAAAAAGTGCGTGCGTACAAAGTACACATGTCAGAAGTGAAACTTCTTTGGCAAAGTAATTTTTAACTCTTGTTCATATTTATACAAAACTTTAGATTTCCGACACTTAGAGGGAGGAAAAAGGAAGATATTATATTAGGAATTTAATTGTCATTAAAATATTAAGTGTCGGAAATTAATAGAAATAATATTTTTTTTTATTTTTTTCTGCGATAATAAAAACACGTGGCATTTTAATTTACAATTCGTCATTTGAGATTTCAATTAATTATTTTGCATAAAACATAAAATACTAATATTTCATAAATTGTCTTTACGAAATTTTAATTTTAAAAATAGAATGTCTATAAGGTAGTTCATCCTTCTCACTCTCTCATAATCGGTCTCAATCGCTCTCTCCCTTTTCTTCGACAAAAACGCTGCACATCCTCGTGACGTTCTGTAAAAATTTTAGCCTAAAGAAGTTTCACTTCAAAAACTTAAATCTAAAGTTCTGGTGTCTATTATGGCATTTCAAGTTCAGTTGTTCTAACATGACTTGGACTTAGTTTCATTTCTTTACGTTTAGGAAACTGCCGTCGAGGTATTTCCGTGGTAAATACTGAGCGTCCTACAATTAACGTCCAGGACGGTTCACAAATCAGATGAGCCTTTTGCCCGTTTACACCCATTTCTATAAAAAAAACTAAAGTTTGCGTTAATTATTTGCATAAATATTCGTAGTCTTTCATGTAACTGGTAGTAACCAGGGGCGCCGTAAGATGAAAACTGTCTCTGGCATACACATTGACGGAGAAGTATTGTTAATTGTCAATGTCAAAAAAAGCGTCGAGACTGCAATAACCAGTAGACAAATTAACTGTGAATATTGTTAGGCATATTTTAAGCGGAAATAAAGTCTTAATAAATTTTTTTAGGCACAGCAATTGCCGGCAAAAACATCGCGAACCCAATCGCAATGATAAACGCATCTATCGACATGCTTGAACATTTGGGACATCACTTCCACGCTGGCTTACTGCGTAGGGCTGTCAATAAGACGGTGAATATCGACAGGGTGTTGACCCCAGATGTCGGTGGAAGCAATTCTTCGTCGGAGGTCGTGGATTCGATTATAGGTAACATTGGAAAATCTTAGGTTGGTAGACGGGATGTTTGACGCGGCGATAATGCTTTATGATATTATTTTTTGTTTTATTTACATTTTGTTTGGTTTGAATCAACGTTTCAAATATTACAAATTAAATAATCGCCTATGAATTTAAACAAATGTATATAATTAATTGTATATTAGTTAGAAATCAAGTTAATAAACAAAATAAAATTCTTTGAGTTTTCGCTGCGTTCAAATGTAATATCCCTCTTTGCACAACATTTAGATTAAAGTGTGTAAAATATTTTCTAGTAAATTTGACGAATCTAAATTATGTAATTACATTTTTTATATAAATTTACATAAATCGCTTTTAATTTAATTAAAACTCTTTTGATAGTAGTATATAATGAATTTTTAGATTTTTGTTCTCTGTCAAATTAATTTGATTTAATATTTGTTGAAAATGAAAGTGTAGTGCCTTTTTAATTGTTTAAAGCCTTAGAAACCCCAGTTAGTGTATTCTTGTATTTTTTTATAATATACCATAGTCAATGCAAGTATTTTCTTCCTTTTCTTATTGCCAAAATGATATTGGTGTTGCCCAATATAAATAATTTTAAACAAAAAAAATCGATACAGTTGAGATTTATAAAATTGATTTTGAAAATGGCAACACTGATTCATACAAGTAATTATAGTGTTCGAAAATGTGAGATAAATTAAGCTGCTAAGAAAGTTACCCTTTAAGTATTACCAGTGTAATTTATTTATTTTAGTTAAAAATAAATAGCTAATTCGTAGATGTTGTTTTATTTTACGCTACCTAGTTGCTTGAAGTAAATTGTGCTTTTACGAAATGATCCAATAAATACAATTGTAGTTGTATCAGAAGATCATTCTTCCTAGTAGACGTGTTTCGTAATAATTAACGATAAAAGTAAGGCCTGTATTGCCATAATACAGGCCAAACTTTAACTTACCTTAATACATATTAAGCTAAGTTCATTAAAACAATTTGCGTAATCAGTTATGTACTTTAATTTTTTAATAAGCATAAACCCAAAAATTATTTAAGTATGTTTATTATTTAAAAACTGTGATCCAACATCTTACTCTGAGAGCTCATTCAAATCAACACGCACACACACAGTCATTAAATATTGACAGATTTTGATTGATCACAAAAATTCTAGATTTTATGTCAATATGCTCAATATTAATTTCTGACGCGTTTACACATCACGTTGACGAGATCTCAAGGGGTCTCATACAGTATTTAAGGGGTGATCAGTCTGAACATTTCTTTGCATTCTCTTTGTTGACGACTTATCTTACCTTTAAAGTGTGAAAAATACACTAAAGGAGATTACTTAATAACTGTAAAGCATAGATTTATATTGTTGATTGGACAGAGATAAAAGAAGGAGATAATTAAAAATAATTAAACTGTCATATTTATTCCTTAAGACGGATTTATTGACCATCATTGAAATATGATTGTTTTCCTGAATTTAAAATGCAGACTTCGTGTGCCTGATTGCGGTACGGTCATAGGTTCACAAACTTGTTAAAAGTGGAATTGATGGAGGGTCCACACGCCCGTATCTAAGTAGCCCGGAATTGCAGGTACTTATGTGCGGTGGTTAACACGTCATTCAAAGTTCGCCTGCTCGTATACCTCCGTATTAACAAAATATCTTGATGAGATGAACAGAAGTAAGGAAAGTCATATCCTTGTACAAATTTTAACAGAAAAGTTTTTCTCGTTACAGATAATGTAGAAACGGTGGCAGATATGAACCAGTTGTTTTGAGCATAGTTGTAGAGAATACTCCTCTACCAAGCATCAAACTGTTAGCAATATTTACTGTATAGCTTCGATGTAACAAATATAATTTGGAATAATGTCCGTCGAGAGATATTATCAAGTAGTGTCTGGCACAGTAGGAAATTTCATAATGATAGAAAAATATTAATAATATTATTGTTCTGTGTTTATCGTTAGGAGTACACAAATCGCTGATGCCTCTATTTATAAAAATTAAATAGATTATATTAATGTAACTATTGTTTTATTTACCTAAGAAATATGCGACAAACCAATACTAAGTAAATAAATGAACAGTCGAATGAGATATTTAATGAAAAGTACTCACTGGCAAGATGTATCGGGATGCTATGCGCGAGGTCTCTTAGTTTTGGACTTTTGCAGTTAAATTTTATCCTAAAGTTGGGCGAATTTATAATTTATCTTACTTGATAGCCCCACAGGCTACAGGGAAGCAATTTGATTGTTATTCGAAAGTTTATTAAAATTATTTGAAATTTGAATTTAATTTCTTCCTTGATTTAAAATTTATTGACTGTGTTTCGTTAACAATTTCCTAGAATTTATTTCTAAAACCTATAATTTAAATTTAAGAAAAGCTAAGGTAGGGCAAAAATGGCACAAAAGTTGGAAAACACCGTTTTAGATAAAAACAATGCAAACAACAAATTCTTTGTGAGAGATTAAAAAACCGAAAAAGGGTTAAAGATTTATTGATACATTTCTTTTCCACATTGGATATGACATCAAAGGCGCGCTCATCGCATCTTACACAAAATAATTATAAAAATAAATTATAAATATAAAGTAAATGCGGCGGTTACATTCTTTATTTCATCTGTGATTTTGACACTAACTGGCAACACTGATTATTTTTCCTATAACGGTTTGATCAATGTGGTTTTACCACCACAAATGAAACAAAATTTATTAAGTCTCATGACATATTTAGAGAATATTGTGTGTTGTAAATTGTATTTATTATGACTAGTTTGTTATCGACGCCTTGTCGAATTGATTAGTGTTGCTATAATTCTATAATTTGACAAAACTGTACAGTACGAGGGTAATAAATAATTTCTCGATTTAGGGAGCGTTCAAGTATTACAGCACGCAATTTTTGGAGATTATTGGACCCCCTCCTTTGTAACACGCCGTAACGTTTTTCTGTACCCAATAGTAAAACGATTCGTGACCACCCAGTGACTCTTTAAAAGTTACCATTATGTGGTGTAAAGTTCTAGACAGTCGAAAATAATATTAACAATAACGCATAATTCAAGCCCCGCATCGTAACGTTTTACAAGAGGAACCCCCCCATCCCAAAATTCGTTAAGTAATACTTGAACGCTCCCTTAAGACATATATAGCGAACACTAACTTTTTGTGGTATTACAATTTAGAATATTTTTTTAGTATAAACATTGACATTGACCCCTTCATTACTTGTAAGTTTTGACAAATTTCTAATGTGAGCATAAAATCAGATCATGAATGTCGATAACGAAATACTCCGCAGTACATTACATTCGTCTAAAACTAAAAAAATCCAAGCTGAAAGTTACATTGGAATTATTGAATGCGACTTGCATTAATTATAATTTAAATAAAACAATCGGTTATATTAACCACGTCAACAAATGGCAAGAAATAAATGCATTACCTACCAATTTTGGCAATTCCAATATTAATTTAGCACCAATTTTGGCTAAATTTTAAATTTAAATTAATTTAATAATTCGGACATTCTCATAGTATGTAACTTAAGCGGTTCAAAGCAATGTCTAATGAATTCAACGCGTTTTTTTAAAGTGTCTTTTACTCAGTATGTTTTTCTACTAACCTTTGTTTGATTGTATTATTTTACTCGAACCCAGAGAACCGCATTAAGTTAATATACTTTTAATTATGGCATAGAGAATGGACTCAAGAAACCCTGGTAATTTAAAGACACTGGGATGGTAACACTTTTTGTAAGATGAAACGATTTTGAGACTTACGTTTCTTCATTTTATTAATTAATGACAGCTAAATTGCTCCATTCTCTATGGACCACAACTGACGTTCGTTTAACGTTGAGATTAGAAATTCATTACTATGTATTAGTGACTTTTATGCGTTTAGCCGATACATAAAAAAGAAATGAATAGAAAATAAAAATGTTTTTAAATATTACATTTAAATACATTGCGTTTTCCTTTAGTGTTGTAGATTATAAGGATTTCCCTTTAATGAATTTAGGTAATTATATAAATCATCTAAATGTAAAATTGAAATGTATACAGCTACCTAAAGAGTGTGCCTAGCATGAGATTAACTAGTTCCAATATTAATGTTTAGTTGTAAAAGAAAAAAACACAATTCTTTAATTTAACATGTAATAATTATTTAATGACAAAATAACTCATTTATACTGAGCCTAAGTCATATTTTTTCCGTATAAGAAAAATCTGTAAAATATATAAGTCCGAGTAATAAAATCCTCATTTCAAAACAATGGTCTTATGCTTGGCACACACGTGTAATTTGGACCACTAATTTCCACCCTGTTTCACGATCTTCTAACTGAACAAAATACCGCCAAAAATCACTAACACATACACAAGCTAAATTGCATTTAAATCATAAATAAATTAACATTTCGCTTAAACTTAAAACACCACTTAAAGGGCTAAACAATGGCATCAAAATCACAGATGAGTAAAACGATAAAACTATCATAAAAATCACATTTATAATTAAATAATATTTAAAAATCACAGGTCTGAGAAAGATCTCTATACTTAAAACTATAAGGAATACAAAATGTATGGGCGCGCTAAACTGTCGCTTTCGACAAGAAAAGCAACAATTTAGCGCTCCCACCAAAGACAATTTATCTATAGCATCCCACAGACATACCAAAAATTCCTTACCTATATTTTTCCTCACACACGATGCCATAGAATAAATAATACTGCAAGACAGCTGCCTTATAGAGAGCTTAGAATTAACATGAAACAAATCGCTTAAATTAAGTGTGAGCCGTTTAACAAAACGCGTAAAATCAGTACTTGAAAAAGCGGATAAAATAAACGTATTAACGTTCGAACGGTGCGATGCACGCGCGGTCACTACTCTAACACTAAGACGACACCAACGCCCTAAGCGGCGCGTGAAAATGACGCGAAAACGCATTACGTTTAATGAACGCGTTATGTATTGCACTTTAAATGCGAATCTCACAACCCACGTCGAAACGTGCTTAAAGCTTTCACAAGAATTAAAATATTCTGCATTGTACACACACAACTGTGTCAAAAAAGGGCACAGAGACATTGTGCGCTGTTTCCTCACATTTGTGCGTAACATTGTTAAATAACCTAACTCGAGATTTAATAGATTAAAACTTTTAATTGAGGTTCTGCTGTTCACGCTTTTAGCATAAATGCTCTCATATTGTAATGTCATTGGATCCGTCACGTGTTGTGACTCCGTTTCACTAACGTGCATTACATTTTGACTACGAGCTAAATACATTAAAGTTAAAAGTGCCACAATTGTGACTTTAAGTGTTACAATTTTGACTTTGACAATTCGATGAAATGTCAATAATGATATTAAACTAACTACGACATACAGTGGCATAAGTGTCACATGTAAAAGTGCGTTTTGCGTCAGTTTCACGCGAGGGGGGCTTACGAAAGGGACTAAGAGAGAGAGAAATATCGCGGTAGTGCGCCTGGCCTCCGCTCTTTCACTGTACTGACGTGGCTTTAAAGGTTAAGGGCAATGCGGTTTTTTGGGTTTCTTTAAGTTTTCCTCGTCGTCGCCGGATTTTGGCACCTGAAATTTGTGAATTCCGTAAAAGTTGGGACTAGAAATGAGTCTAGCATTGTGTAAGGTCGTCCGATTATTTTTACTATGGGTTTCGCTTATCGTTTTAAAATAATAAATTTTTAATCTATAGGACAAAACTGTACATAAAATGTAGGTTGTTATTTGGTTAGTATCAAAATTACTAACAAATGTAATAATATTATACTCTCTCCAACATACGTATTGCAAGCCTTTTGACAACGTCAATATAATTATATTTATATGAAATACAGTCGATTGATGGCATATAGTATCAATCACAGACTAAAAATTTATATGTATTTTTTAAAAATAGTTTCTTTATACCATTTAAGTAAAAATTGTTTTAATACTAATTACAAATATTCCATTGTAAGAGCAGAATGAACACATAAAATTACTCACCTCAGTGTATCTTTCTCCCTTCAGAGAGACAATCTTATTGTCTCTGTATCGGACCATCTTCTTTGGCTCAATTTTAGGTGCCAACGGCTTATGTTCTTTTGTCACCGCGTCTTTGTCTACGTACGAGTATCTGAAATTATATATGTCTATATGAAATGACATTTTAAAATATCTTTTAAATTGGTACTAAGCGCTGTGAAATTTCAAAAAACTGTCAATTATGTGATTTTGTAAAGATTTAACTGAAAAACATACTTTCGAAAAACTTCCTCTAATCTTCATTATTAATATTTTAAACTCAAAAAATATTAAAGAAGAAAATTTTTTTGCTGTTTTTAAAATTTGAATAAGTATATATCTTCAAAAGCAGCATATTTTGAGAAATTGGCCAATTTTTTTTTAAATTATGGATTATTTTTTCCTTCGAATTACCTTGTATTTTAAGTAGTAACAGCCGTTACCTATTTTCAATTATTTAAAACCCAAAACCAAAGCAATGCAAAGTTGAATTAGTCTTAACTTAATTTTTAATGAAAATTACGCTTTTAATAGTACCGGAGTTGCCTCCCGTTGCTTACGTACATCTAATAGTTATTTTTTCGTTTATTATTGAATGTAGTATCTTTTATTTGCTTCGCGTAGGTGAATAAGGTGGCTGTATGGGTATTAGGATAAATGCGGCGCCTACGCCAAAGCATTAACATAAATTATGGTAAGCAGGAACGCTTTGAACATTAATATGGATGATATTCAATTCATTCTCCTAGTGCTAGCAAATTAATATAAAAATAATGACCGCTGCGGCGCGGCGACTACTCGGCAGAAATTAAATTCGGGATTATTTTTCAGTATCCGTTGCGCATGACAACAATAAGCCCTTACAAACTGTGGGTGTCTATTTTTCGTATATATTGTAGTACTTTTGAATACTTGTTACATCAGTGTGACCTGTAGTAATTTTTTTGAAGTGAAAACTTGGGTAAAAAATGTTAAACTCGCGGCAGGACAAATTCGTAAGACAGGTGTTTTTTTAAAGGATTATGAACCTTCGTGCTATATAGTTACGGTTTTAATTCATTTGTCTCTTTCCTCGGATACATTGATGCATGTGGAATTGGACCTAAAGTCAATACATCAAGGTTTAATTTTGCGAAACGTCTAAAGCTTTATTATTAACGATTTGGTCAGACTGACCCGAATAAAAAATGGAAAATTAAAAAAATTGTGAATTTTCCTAATTGAAATATTTAATACTAATTTTAATTATTTTGTGTAGGTTTCGTAAGACGGATGGAGAGTAGACAGATGGCGCGGCGTTTTTAATGTAATATAAATTGTCATGTTTGTGTACGATAGCGCAGTAAATAAATATTGTATTCTACCACATAAATGATAGTACCTTTATACTGATAATTAAAGCAATTCGTGCAAAATTATTCCCTAACCATTCGAAAATATCAAAAATGCACAACGTTAATCTTCAAGTTTTTACTTCTGCCGGCACTCCCGGAGTGCAACCCGGCGTTTTTTTTTAAATTAATTATTATTCGCGGTTAACCCACCTCCTAATGATCCTATTTTTGAGCTCATTATCGTCGCACAGTGGCTGCTTAGCAGCGGAATGTATGGCAGCCGCAGATAATGCCTGTCCTTGTTCGCGACGGTGTAATATGGTCGCGGCGGCTCGCTCTGGATCGCCACATGCTATTGAAATGCAGTGTTTTATCTGAAAAATATTTAAAAATATTAGCGGTAAGTTCCGTACGTCAAAAATCATATTGGAGCCATAATTGGAAGTTATATAGCCTATATTAATCGTTGAAAACGTAACTTGTAATTTTTGAAGTTATAATCCTTTTGGCGCGTTAGGGAAGAATGATGAGTAAATCTTTACGATACGCGCGCACACCGTCACAAAAAACCGACACCCTGAAGTTAGCTGTAGTCAACATTTTAGATTTTTGTATTATTAGTTAGTGTCGTTTTTTTCTACAAACGTAGAATAAGGCGAAAGATAAAAAAATATCTTATTACGCCATAGAAGTATAACTTCGTGTAAATGCGTGTACACACACAGTTGTTTTAAGAGATCGTTACAAACAAGATATCTAAAATTTCTCCTTATAATATTAGTCTAGACAAGCAAAGCAACAATTAGAAGACTGCGGTCATTTAAGAACTATATCCCAAAGCATACTATGTGTTCAGTTTTTTTTTAATTAAATGTTTGGACATATTTATTTACACTTCGTTTATACAAAAACATACATAATATAAAAGAAATAGTAAAGGTAGCTAACATAAATCTTATAGGCTTGACCTGCCTTCACAACCGTACCATCAGGAATTTGAACCGAATATTTTGGAAGACGAAAAATAAAAAATATCGTACATCGAATTTTTTTGTACTCATAACACATAAAAACTCTTCATAAAAATTTCTAAATCTCGATTATAATATAATAACATTAACAATTGCCAGATACAAAAATTATACCTCCATAGCACAAGAGTTAGGAAACATCTCAGTGAGAACTCGGCATTGGTCTGCGTATTCTTCATTATACGTCGGCTCAACCAGAAGACGTTCCGCTGTTTCGGAACTTTCAGAGTTTGAGTGTGAGCTGAAAAAAAAGAGGTATTTCATAGGAGCTCGATATATATGAGGGAGCTTCAAAGAGCTCGTATATTATTTGTTAGGTATGAATTTGTTATTTGAAAATATTGTTCACGATGCAAGAGCGACACAAAGATATCCTATCGTATCTTTCTTATATTTATTTTAATGAAAAGCTAGAGAGCAGTGTTGGGCCTCCGATTTCGGTATCTGCTACGTGATCATTGGTTTTCTTTTTTTTTTCAAATAGGCAATTATTTTCCATTTCAATGTATTTTATTTCTTCGTCAATTATTAATGCAAAAATGTTGTTTCGTTATCGATAAATATCGGACATCGATATTGGGCTTTCGATTATGACATCGATGTCAATATCGATCATCCCTACTCAACACTCACTTGTACGGTGAAGGAAAACACGAGGAGCGCGCACCTGCCTTAGGGAGCGTTCAAGTATTACGTAACGAAATTTTTGGAGATTATTGACCCCCTCTCCCCCATGTAACTCGCCGTAACGTTTTTCAGTACCCAAGTACAGTACTGTATCCAAGTATAGTAAAACGTTTCGTGACCACCTAGTGACTCTTCAGTTACTATTATGTGGTGTAAGTCGAAAATAATATTAACAATAACGTGTAATTCAATCCCCGCCCCGCATCGTAACGTTTTACAAAATGACCCCCCCTCCCAAAATTCGTTACGTTATACGTAATACTTGAACGCTCCTTTAGACGCAGAAATAGAAGGCGTGGCACAAAAGGCCTGATAAGCAAAATGAAATATGAAGAGAAATGCTCACAAAGCAAACTGAAATATGAAGTCAAGATCTGTTGTTACACGCTTTTTTATGAGGCCTGAGCTCCATGAGTGAACCATAGACGGATGTAAAAATGTGTTAATGACCTTACCTTATTTATAAAACTTAACCATTCTTTAATAAACTATAATAAAATTTACATAGATCTTTAATGTTCCACTTTCGAATAATATTTATACAAATAAACATACATTGAATCTACTTTTCAATTACTTAAGTATTAAAAGTGAAAAAAACAATACAATTTATTCGTCGCCATAGCTTATATTATGATGTAATTTCTTTTTTCCATGCACTTAGATCAAGCATGGAGAATACAAAAAAAAAGGTTCATTTAAAAAAAAATATACACAAGGTAAATTAATATTTTTTTTTTTGTGAACTCACTCTACGAATTAGATAAATATTTCGATAGTGTCGGACACAGCATTCAGTAGGGGCAACGTCTTTGTTAACGGAGATCTGTGCAACAAACTGGTTCTGGGCCTGGGTATCGCAAACAACCTTGGCCATCGCCGTCGCACATTTCCCATAGGTACAAAGCATTATCTCACATGCATACAATTCAAGAAATTGTTTGCATAGCAAATATGCAAGACATTTTGCATGTATTCAGTTGTGTGCCCATACCTGATTCCGGGTAAATAATAAATGAATGAAGTGATGCAAGCATATGATTACCTTAAAAACTTACTATTGAAGGTTCTACACAAATATACAAATGTGAAACTTACCGATTAGCCTTGGTGCTTGGAGGCAGCATGTCGCTTAGATTAAGTAGAGTCAAACTAATTTTGTCACTCCCAGCCGAATCATCTGAAATATCAATCAATTAAATTTCTATTAAACCAATATGATTCTTTCTTCATTAATATTTTAAAAATATAAGAATGCAAGTAACTTCTTACTGCCTTTATTATTCATAATATATATTTATCTCACATTATTAATAAAAACTAATATAATAAATATTCAGATGACATAGTCCATACAATAATTTTACGGTACACTCAAATTTTATTCAATTAAATATGGATTGTGAAGACCAATTGGAGATTAAAATAATCATGGATGCAACAGAAGTGCTAAATAGAGTTTTGTCTAGTCTAAAGTGGTAAGTTGCTACAAACCTACAATTATTAATTTTGACTAACCATGAGTAGAGTTACTATCACACTCATCCCGGCGGGAGATCTCAGCTTCTAATTCCAAAACCCAAGCACAGACAACCTCTGTGTTAATATGTTCAAATTCCGGGATATAAGCTGACATGAACTCTACAAAACCTGTAATAATAAATTTCTATATTGGAAACTTATATTTCTTTAAGCCACACAAGTTTGAAGCTATTTATTAATTACCCCTAATATGCCTACGCACAACGGACCAACCTCGAGTCTAATTGCGGAGAAAGGAGTCCTTCAACCCTAACCCTAACCCTACCCCTAATATGTTATCCGGATTTAAAGATACAGTCCATCAACATTATATAAATAAAAAATAAATATAGGTAAAACCAATAATAATAAATAAGTATTTGTATCTTTTAAAATAGAAAGTCACACAAGTGAGAATAACTATAATTTTTGAACAAAATGAAAGAAAGTAAGTTGTCAGCAAATTATTATTTACTGTTTACAAATATAGAGTATAGTCTAGACTTAATTTAATATTCATTTATTCCAAATTTAACCATTGCATATTTTTTTAAATACATGAAGCTTTATATTTTATACAATATGTAGAAAAGTTTGGCTATACATGATTAGTATATTATTAAAATGTAATAATTTAAATAATACGCGACTATTCTTATAGAAGTAAAAGATGGGATATAAATTGTATCGTACGCGAAAAGTATTGTTTTAATATGGAATCAATTTTATAAGTAATTGCTTACCTTCTACATCAAAACAGGAGTCTTGCGATGCTATTTCTAGAATTGAAATTACGTAGGAGAGAGCAATATCATCTATAACACTTAAATCAGCTGTTGGGATGTTTTTCTTAATAAAATGAAATAAACTCTCCTTAATGAGATTTTCTTGTTGTGCTATGGCACTCATTTTTCCCTAAAACAGTATAGTTTGTAGTGTAAATTGGAAATTAATACATTAAATTCATTAAGGCGTTACGACTTGTTAAACAAAGAAAAAGCTGGGTTAATAATTATTTATGGAACAGTTTATTAAGTTCAAAGTATAATAAAATACTCACAAACACAACTGGAGCGTTTTAGTTATAAATTAATGAATTTTCATGGAAAAACTGGAACACGGAGGAAAGCTGTGAAAAATCAATACAAAATCACAAACGAAGTTTTAAATAACAATAATGACGTTTTTCCACAGATTACGTTTAACACTCCGGGTCTGCAACTACAGGTTCAGCTGTCGCAATATAGACCTATTCTTACTCTGTGATAAAAATTCTGTTTGATCGACTGCAACTTGAGGTAGAGACGGGACTTGGTTTATATTTTGCAGATTGTATTACACTTCATACATACAAATACACATTTATATGCAAATCATACATTTGTATTTCTTCTTGTTTTAAAATTCAAATAATATTTTTTTAGTCAGGTCACATTTTTCAACAGTAAATATCATGTACAAATGAGAGAAGAGGAACATGATCAATCGACCCTGAATGAGCTACGTATTTATATTGATTGCTCAAAAACAGTAGCTCCGGCACTGGAATATTCTCTCTTAATCTCTACAATAACCTTTACGCTCTAAAGGCCCGGCACCGGCACCTACGGCCATACCGCGCTTAGGAATTAATAAAGGGTGCGTCTGTAGTGATGGCGTTAGAAAACAAAAAGACGAACAACAAATACTACTGGATAGTTAACATGAACAGGAAGCAATAACCCTGATAAACAGGGTTACCCTACAGTGGATAAAAGGACACAGTGGATGTCTCGGCAATAATGCTGCCGACGAGCTCGCAAAGAGAGGATCCTTAAGGCGGCTGGCCACAGAACTCCAAAATCACCGTTGGTCGCGAAACGCAGACTGTAGACAGTCCAAAATGGCACTACCAGCAGTAAACCCGCTAGAGAACAAGCGAATTAATTTCAAAATAAAGATTGGGACAATTACGGGCCACTGTCTTCTTAATAAACATCTATTGTCCTTGGGCCGACAGGCAGTCCTTTGTGCAGAGGCTGTTTCAGCGCAGAGGATTCAGTCACCCACGTAGTCCTGGAATGCGTGGCTGTGGCTTCCCAACGAACATAAATGCTCGAAGCAGTGAGGTCTCTCCGTGAAGCCTGTGATGTGTCCAGGAAACTTCTGAGCTTATGGAAGTCACAACGGACCAAATGGGCGTCTAAGTGCGGAAACTGAGTCCTCATTACATAGTACATATATACTACCACAAAAGGGACATTATTTATTAAAACAACTTAATAAACTTGAACTTTAATATTCAAATATTTTTTTAATTATTTTTCATTTCACAGTTTAACATATTTAATTTTGTTTAATTCCTTAAATATGTACATATATTTAAAACAAGTTTGACTAAATTTCTTTGATTTATATTTAACAGAATATTACGAATAACTGGACAATTTTAACTCTTGAAGCATATCAAAAACGGTCTCGACTAATCGATATTTCATGTTAAAAGTCGTACGACGAGCATCCACTGATCCATACGACATATTCAATGTGAATAGGTCTGGGTAAAACTGAAACAGATTTTTTTCAAACTTATTCAGAAGTAATAAAATACAATATAATATCATTTTTTTATTGTATAAATGTATTTGCTGCAGTATCCGAAATTCATTGTCAAAAAGGCGGGACAGAAGCATAACTAGTAGAGTTACAGATTACATGTGAAAAGCGTAGATAAGATATACCATTATGACTTGGCTTGACTTGGCTTGACTTGACTTACAAATATTACAAATAGTAATGTTGGAGCCATTCTTAATCCGATTAGTTCTGAACATACCTGCATGCCCATAGCTGGGTCAGTATCAAATTCTGAAGATAGCTCGTTGCATTTGAGTATTACTGCCTTCTGCGGTGTGGAGTGAAGTAGTTGAAATTTACCCTGAAATTATGATCATAAACGTCGTAAACTTCTTTTTCAATACTTGTTCTGTTGAATAACTATGGTTCAACAATAACACATTTTTGTTAACTGAATCAATTCGATGAAAATATGTCAGTTATATAAATCTAGGCCATCGTTTCTCAAACATGTTTACGTCGCGACCCACGAAAAAGCCGAAAAGTTAAGTAAAACAGTCTTGCAACCCCATCACTGTAAAATTATAATAATATGTACATAGTGCGATATTATCAACGAATCTTTTGTACCTATATATGTAGATGTATTTATTATTTTTCAACAGATCGCGAACACCTTTTAAAACAAACTCGCCTCGACCCCCGCCAAGGGTCGAGCTCCCTGCCTTAGATGATCGATCGATGCCGATGATCTAGGGCAGGCTGTATGACAAATATCATTTCACTTCGCTATCGCGTAAGACGTTGCCTAAACTCTTTGATAACAGCTAAGTAATATAACTCTTTTTAATCCTTTAAAAAAATATAACGTAACGATGACATTCTTATAATGTTCGTGCATGTCATAAATTGGTACGAAAACTAAAAAATTAAATCACAATAGTAACATAATACCAAAAAGGTTTTATTTCCTAAGTATGTAATTAGACCAATTTGAAAGAATATAAGTTATAATACCTCTCTCTTCTTATCTACAGCTTCGCGTAATTGCATTATAATGTTTCGACTTCCAGCTGCTTGGTTCCAGCTACAACATATGTAAAAAATAAGATATACATATGTGAAAATGGTATAACAACTTACGAATCAGGCAGCGCTAACCAGATCCATGCAACTTCCTCGCAATCGAGTACCCCGCGATATCGCGTTACCCAAATCCCGACGGGAATTTTTGTATCGAAGAAGTCGCACGGGTTCGATGAGCGTTCGCAAATATACAAAAAACAATGTGAATTCATAAATAGGAATTTGGTAGGAATATAAAAAAAGCGAAAGGAAAAACTAATAGGTAATAATAATTGTAAATAATTGAATGCAAGGTTGCTAAGACATGGAGTCATAGTTTTATTGTAAACAGAAAATTGCTTAACTGTATCATGTTTTGCGTAGAAAATCAAGATTTCCATTAAGAACAAATTAAGAAAATATTACCAATAAGTTTTTATAGTTGAGGGCAAAACCTATTTACCGTTTATCAGGTATTTTATATACCTAACAGCGCGTGTACGAGCCAAGGCTGTACATTTTTTTTCTCAGTTTTATAAGCGTGGCGATTTCCAAACCGTCCCGAGTTACGCCCCGAGAGTATAGCCAGACCGCAGACGTAGGCACTCTTTTCAAGTGTTACATTGCAATCATTCGTTACATAGCAAATAATATTTCATTATTCCGCTTATATTCTATTGTTGTATGCGAGTGGTTAATATAGAGTAACAATAAAATCCTCTATTATTTTAATTACCTGATGACCCAGGACCCGTACAGTTGGATTGACAGCATTATATAAACTATAAAGTATACTATCGAGATGTCAAAAAGTAACTAAATACCTATTTACTTACTAATTTTACGAAATAGAAGGGATAGGATATTCTATATAATATAGAAATTACTTATACGAATACTTAAAAAATGACGTAAAATCAATAGTTTTTGTTTATAACTAACATACGCTCTTGTAAGTCACGAAAAAATTACCGGCTCCATTGAAAATTGTAAGCCCTTGATAGAAAGGCCATAGCATGATAATTGTGCCTCTCGGCCACCCATTCCTTTGGACAAGAGCCTTCTAGATGGTTATGTCCGTCAAAGTCAGGAAAGAAATCGCACGCCGCCTCACGCATAATCTAAAACATTTAAATTCCGATATATCTTCGCTAGATGCCTAAGACATAGAGTATGTCGAATTAATAACTTTGCAACAATCCTGACGGAATCACAAGTGGGGCCGACAATTAATATTTAAAACTGTTTTGCTATTTCGTCTCATAATTTGTCTGGAATTATCGGGGTTTGAAGCCGTTCAGATGTCAAATCAAAATATCATTTATGGGTATTCTTATAGGTACAAAGTAATGTATTTACTGCCAGTAATCAAGGCGTAGACTAGACGAGAAGAACTGGCAATAAACTCTCCACCATAATTTTATTACATAAGTTTTTGGCTTTACAAAATGTTTGTAAGAAGCTGCAACCATTACTCCATCTTGAAACAATTTTTATAGAATATATGATGAGCTAAGATCCTGTGCCTGCTACTCCGGCCGTGTCGCATCGTTGTTTTTGGTTTTAAAATATTTGAACTAGTAAATATATTTATGATAAAAAAAAATAGCAAATAAATTTTTTTGCGCGAGTTATGTAACGTAACGTTAGTTAAGTTACATTATATATATATACAGGGTGGCCAAAAAGTCGTGGATCAAATGCAACTAGGAGATAGATGGGATCATCAGCTGCAAAAAATTGTTCTACGGGAGGTCCTTAAGCTCACCCCCTGCATAGTTATAATTTATTTTGCGTTTTTATAAGAAAATTTTCTTGGCATGAAGATCGCTGATCTCGCTCCCATTAAGAAATCAGCTGCGTTAACAATTATTGGGGAATTTCTACATCTAATGGCCAATCTCGATAGATATCGGCAGATCAGTATCAAGAACTTTATTATTAATTTAACATTGAATGCTTTAGTTAGACTTTGGTGTAAAAACCTGAACCATTTTCTTGACACTATATGGTTTGTTGAAGTGTTGTTTTAGAGCAGATGTTGTCGCATTGGCTATCCAGTGCAATTTAACTGTGTTTCCAATACAAATCCACGTAACAGTTATACAAACACCAGTTACTGTAATTATTACACCTTTTCTGAAAGAAACAATTTTTAATTTTAATGAATTTGGATTGAATCTCAATTTTTAAATAACCGGAGGCAAACTAGCCGTAGGTTCACCTGATGTTAAGTGCTACCACCGCCCATAGACATTCACATTGCCAGAGGGCTCGCAAGTGCGTTGCCGGCCTTTTTATAATTGGTACGCTCTTCTCTTGAACGACCTTAAGTCAAATTGGTTCGGAAATACTTCAGTGGGCAGCTGGTTCCACATAGTGGTGGTGGATGGTTGATATATCGCTGAGAGTATAAATGAATATGAAGAAAAAACGTTATTTGCATGACGTCATGGTCCACAGCCAGTCGGTTACAGTTTCTGAACGAATAATCATATTTAAAACTAAAGAATGTATTTATTTAAAAATGTATTTTTGACGTGACAGCGTCTAATAAATTCATGAACGCCGGCTATCATCATCATCATCATATAAACTATCGTCCGTAAACCGACTTTACGGACAACCATTTATTACATTTTATAAGAGTCTAACGAAATATACAGGGGGCTTAGTAAAATGCCTTATAGTGTATGTAGAAAATCGAAAACAAAATTTGTATGAAAATGACAGTTCGTGTCGACATTCCACATACACTAGGTACTGTTAAGGCATCTTGACTAAGCCCCCAAGTACTCAAAGACGGCTTATTATAAAAAAATAAAAAAAACATTTTTCTACATAAAATATAGCATGACACTCGTAATTCAGAAAATACATACCCATTAGGGTCTGGTCTCAAATCCCAACCTTGATACGGCAAATTCCCATAACGCAGTGTTGCTATACCAATCGGCCCTAAAATACATAATAATTTATTCATCCATGAGTTATGTAACCTAACATTAGATATGCGTGCCCGTGACCACGCACGCTGTAAAGCACGCGAAACGTCGGTTAAATTTAAAATTATGAAAAATAATTGCAAATACATAACTTCAATCCGGTAAAAAATTGTTTTATTATCAAATGTGTGAAAGTTATGTCAAAAAAAGACCATACTATAACCTAACATTAGTTAATAATTAAAAGCGTAAACAAAATGTGAACAATCATCGCACACTTGAAGCCAATATGAGCCCTTTAGTTATTCTTATTTTAGTTATTTGTTTTTCTATAAATGTAACGAAGTGTAAATAAAAAGTGCGTGCGTACAAAGTAGGTACACATGACAAGTGATACTTCTTTGGCAAACTAATTTTTAAGTCCTGTTCATATTTATACAAATCTAAAACTTTAGATTTCCGAGACTTAGAGAGAGGGAAAAAGGAAGATATGTTAGGAATTTAATGAATTTAATTGTCATTAAAATATTAAGTGTCGAAAATTAATGCAAATTATAAATTTAATTTTTTTCTTCGATAGTAAAAACACGTCGTATTTTAATTTACAATTCGTTATGCAATTTTTTTGCATAAAATATAGAATACTAATACTCGTATTTCATAAATTCTTTTTACGCAATTTTAATTTTAAAAATAAAATGTCTATAAGGTAATTCGCCCTTCTCACTCTCTCTCTCAATCGGACTCAATTGCTATCTCCTTTTTCTTCGACAAAAACGCTCCACATCTTCGTGACGTATCCGTAAAAATGTTACTCTCATGCGCCTAAAGAAGTTTCACTTCGAAAAAAATTACTCTTTAATGTATTAAAGTTAATTGTTCAGGAAATACAGTTTTAAGTAATTTTCCAGTACATATTAATCTACTTAGCATAGCTTTTAAGATTGACTATGACTATACGTCATATTATCTTACACAAAACACCAGTCCTAAATTGTATAGTAAGTTTGTCTTCATTAAATTTGTAGTCATTAACATAGTTGCTTGTCCAAAGTTTTCTTTGTTCCTGCCATTGGCATATCACTGGTGGTTCCGTCCACATTATATCTTGAGGTAATCTGAAAAAAGTATGAATCATAGAGTGACAGTAAGGGTTGACTAATGATTGATAATCATACAGAGTACGATGCCAATTCAAATGCTTACAGCCAACAAGATTAGGGGTAAAAGACGAATGGGGTAAAAGACTCTCAAAGGTTTTAAAGGTTCGGCAACGCACTTGCGAGCCTGCTTGTGTGAGTGTTTGTCCCCTGTTCTATAAAAAAAAACCATACACCAGTGTGTAACTACTGTTAAGGAAGTTTTATTTAAGCTCCTAAAAAATAAAAATAAATCAGTGGCGCTACAGCCTTTTTAGGCCTGGGCCTCGGATTTCTAAATCTATTTCATGATCATTTGTCTTATAGGCAAGTAGGTGATCTGCCTCTTGTGCTTGACACACACCGACTTTTTGAGTCTAAGGCAAGCCGGTTTCCTCACGATGATTTCCTTCACCGTTCGAGCGAATGTTAAATGCGCACATAGAAATAAAGTCCAACGGTGCACAGCCGGGAATCGAACCTACGACCTCAGGGATGAGAGTTGCACGCTGAAGCCGCGCTCTAAGCTCTTAACATATTATTTATTAGATTTATATAGTTTCTACTTGTCTATTGATTTTGTTAAAAAGAATTCTTACTCAAAGAACACCAAAGCAAGTTTCTCGTACTCCGCTTCTATTTTCTTTAACTCAGCCTCTATTTCTTCTGGAGTACGAGTTACCCCAGGTGCTGGTGGTGATGGCGCCCGATATTGAACTTGATATTTCATCGGTTGCAATTGTTTCGGTAGTTGTACTGTAAAGAGGTAAAATCAATGATTTTGTATTCGATTTTATGAACCTAAATAATTACAGTTAATGCAAAGACAATTCTCCTAATTGTCAGGCGTTAGTCCTATCTTAAATGTATAAACGAATAAAAAATAAAATAAATCAGTGGCACTACAACCTTTTTAGTACTGGGCCTCAGATTTCTCTATCTGTTGATTGTGTCCAACACGAGACCTTAATCGGGAAACTCCGCCACTATGGCATCAAGAATACCGCACTGAATCTTCTGACTTCCTATTTACACGGAAGAACTCAGAAGGTTGAAGTGAATGGTAAGAGGTCCTCTGGGTCGGCAGTAGATATGGGGGTACCACAGGGCTCAATTCTTGGCCCTTTCCTCTTTCTTGTTTATATAAATGATCTACCTTTCATGGTAGAGAGAAAACATCAGATAGTTTTGTGTGCTGTGATAATTTTAAAAATCAAACGACAAATAACAAATTTTGACGATGTGAACAATGCTCTGTCTTCGATTGTCCATTGGTTTAGTATGAATAACCTTCTACTTAATGCAAAAAAGACAAAATGCATTAAATTTTGTGCAAAAAATGAAAGGGTTATGGATACTAGACCAATTATAAACGGTGAGGAATTGAATCTGGATGATACAACTGTATTTCTCGGAATCACCATGGATTCAAAACTTCAGTGGTCCCCTCATATTAACGGATTGGCGAAGAGACTTAGTTCTGCAGCCTACGCGGTTAAAAAAATTCGCTCACTAACTGATGTCGATACAGCTAGACTTGTTTATTTTAGTTACTTTCATAGCTTAATGACTTATGGCTTATTATTATGGGGTCATGCTGCTGATGTCGAAACTATTTTCATCCTGCAGAAGAGGGTTATTCGTGCAATCTATAATTTAAAATGTAGGGAATCTCTTAGAGATAAATTCAAGGAAATTAATATACTTACCTTTCCCTCGCAATATATTTATGAAAATATTATGTATGTATACAAAAATAGTGATAAGTTTACTAGAATAGAACATACGCACAATGTTAATACACGGAACAAACGCAGGCTGCAATTTCCCCGTACTAGACTATCTAAAGTTAGTAATTCTTTTTTAGGGAAAGGGATACTCTTCTTTAATAAAATCCCAGAGGCTCTTTTATCTCTGCCTTTCAATAAATTTAAGAAATGTATTAAAGAAAAGCTGTGTAAAAAGGCTTACTATAAAGTCAACGATTATCTAGTTGATAAAAGGGCCTGGGACTAGTGCTAGACAGGCTACTTCTAATTAATTAGCGATATTTGTTTTAAATAAGTGTTGTTTGATGATTTGCTGTTTTAAAAGAGTACCGAGAGTTTTTTACGCCGGCTTTTTCTCTCGGCCTACACCCTCTGTCTTCTTTGCCGATGAGTAGGGATGCCTAAAAGTTCAAATTTAATGACGTGGAATAAGTGATACATGTATCTTATGTTCCATAATAAACATATTTTATTTTATTTTATTTTGTTACGTGATCTAATTGACATGTGGGTCAGCCTCCTGTGCTTGATACACGCCGTCGACTTTTTGGGTCTAAGACAAGCCGGTTACCTCATGAGGTTTTCCTTCACCGTTTAAGCGAATGTTAAATGCACATAGAAAGAAAGTCTATTGGTGCACAGCCGGGGATCTATCCTACGACTGCTCTTCGCACGGCTAAAGTATTATAAATAAATATAGCCTGTGTTACTGATGATTAATGTAGCATTAATAATAAGCTCCTTGGGTAGAATTCCTGGCGAGCCCCGAGGGCCCATCTTAAGGGCGTGCGTTGGCCAAGGTGTTTTTAGTGGGTGGGATCTCGCTACCCCTCTGAATAGCAGAGGGCTTTGAGTAAACCCATCCCAACAGTCACCGCGTCAGGCTAGACATACATTGCGCGCGCCTGCGTAGGCGCGTTTTCACTTCATTAAAAAAAAAAGCATTAATAATAAGCTATATGAGATAAGAGTTTCTAAATCGATCTATATTTTTTGATTTTAATCTTCCTCTTTATTATATTAGTATAGTAAATTTTACGACTATGAATGGTGGTTGTGTGGTATAATGGTGAATATAACAGCATCACGACCTAAGCAATGGGACAGAATCCCATAAATTCTTTCGCTTCGGTGTCATTTTGGGTAGTGACTTAGAATAAAATCTGAAACATTCAAGAATATTATAGACACTTCTATTACGATAAGATATTATAATCGCGAATTTATACGAGATAACTTAATCAATAATTTGTTTTCAGATATAGTGGACGGTGTGTTAAGAACGATATCTGTGTCAGTTTGTGTTATTAACACATAAAATGTGTGATGATTTTCATATGGACACAAAATGATTTTAAGGATTTCGTAAGTGTTTTTATAACTATATTAATATATGTATTTGTATATAAACGTAGGAATTGAATTGTGTCGTTGATACGTCATACACGGAAGCAAATACAGAACTTCAATATCAATTGATTAAACTCGCCAAAACGTCGAAATTCAACTGTTTGATTTGGTTTATTTTGGTTCATTCTTTTCTAATAGCTCTTCTTGTCCAAGTTGTGCCTCCTATTCACTTTATATCGTCTGCCCATCTCTTTCTCTGTCTTGCTTTTTTCATTTTGTGGTTGCCATCCTGTAATATTTTTTATCCATTTCAACCTGTTATCTCTCGTCGTGTGCCCGGTCCAGCGCCATTTCAATTGCCTTATTTTCTTTAAAATGTCTACTACTTTGGTCGTTACTCTTATCTCTTCTGCTGTTTTGCGATGTCTCAGTGTGAGACAGAGATGTGTAGTAGTTCAAATAAAACAGAGTTCAAATCCGTTAACTAAGTTCTATTTAAATGACTACTGGCATACATTATTAATGGTAGTAATTAAGGAATATCCCTACATATCACAATTTATTACATATAACATTATTTATCCAGAATAGGGCTAATTTGTTTTTTGAAGTGACTGTAATCTTTAATTTTACGTTTTTTATATCCTTGCATTTTTCAGTATGCAGCTGTTCCAGAGCTGTTATTCTGCCAGCTTGTCTACCAGCCTCTGTAATATCCTTGTAATATTAATTATTTTCTTTTTAATTTTCAGTATAATCTACATATTTCATTTAAGTTTATCACAAAGTAGCCGCATATATCCTAATGAATCGCTCTGTCTTACCGGGTATATGACCGACCTGCAGTCTTGGGTCACCAAGGATGGCCAATTGACAGTCAATGGTAAATTCAAACTCAAAATAACTTTATTCATATAGGTAACCAAGTACACAACGTCAACAGAAAAGATGTTAAATTGATTCTAAATTTACATTTACTACCAGTTCGCATGTCGAGGGCGTAGAGCGGGCCAGAAGCTCCGCCACTCTCGGTATAAAGAACTAAGCAATTCGGCTGAAGTCTTTATAAATGGTTTTTATGGAAATGTGGTAGAATAATATTATCTTTGGGTTACTCTACTTCTCAATTAAATATAACTTCTCTTTGTATTGGAGGAATGCACTCGAATTTACGAGTAAAGAGTAATTATAATATTATTTCCGTTAAAGAAGTCGGTACTTAACACTACATATGAGTAAACTTTAGTTAATCATAATAAAAAAACAGTAGCGCTACAACCTTTTTAGGTCTGGGCCTCAGATTTCTGCATCTGTTTCATGATCATTTGTCAATCTAATAGGAAAATAGGCCTACCTGACACACACCGTCGACTTTTTGCGTCTAAGACAAGCCGTTTTCCTCACGATGTTTTCCGTCACCTTTCGAGCCAATGTTAAATGCGACATAGAAAGTCCATTAGTGCACTGCCGGGGATCGAACCTACGACCTCAAGGATGAGAGTCACACGGCCAACACTGCTCTTAAGTTAATCATAATAGTAGTAATAATTATGATGAAAATACTATTTTCTTCTACTAAATTTCAGACTCACAGGCAATAGATCTATCACACGTACAAAATGTTGCCTCTGCTATAGAGGAATATATGGAGAACTCTGGCCGACGGAAACTCGTGGACAACATAAAATATCTGAGTGTAGCCAAATCTAGTTTACAACGAGTTCCTCCGGTGAGTAAGAAAACATATTTCAGTTGTTTTATAGGAGTCATGACCCTTCCAGGGCCTTGACAGTTTACCATGTATAATAAATGTTTAATTAATATTGTTACAAAAGCGTTTGTTAGTAAATACAGATTCTGTACAAACTGCCAAATCTGTTATTTAAAAAAAATACTTTGTGACGTGAATAATTCTAGATCCGTGATTAAATAATAGAGCTTTCGAGAGACATATAACAGATTTCTGTGTCTGTTTCGTGAACATTTGTTTTTGCTAATAGGTGATCAGCCTTTTGAGCCGGGCACGTCGCGTCGTCGACTTTTGGGTTAAAGGATTGTCGGTTTTCTCACGATGTTTTCCTTCACCGTACGAGCAAGTGGTAAATGAGCACATAGGCAGAAAGTCCATTGGTCTAACCAGGGCTGGAACTTACGATCTCAGGTATGAGAGTCGCACTCTGAAGCCACTAGGCCATAACTGCTATTAGTCTGTCTAAACTTTTGTAATATTTCTTTTAATTTAGAGCTTATATGAGTACTGCTGGCTGAGGTTGCTGAGGTATACGGTAACCATAGATAAGCTTCAAGGTGATGTTATTTGATTCGAAGGTTTCAGCCCTGCGATTCTGTAACTCACTTTTGCGAAAACCGCTGTGTGAGTTCGAAAAGTGAGTTACAGAATCGCGGGCAGCTCTGAATAAATTACGACTAAAAAAGGGCGCTTTAAATAACCAGCCAATTCTAAGTTGATTGAAACTTCGCCATTATTGTTCATTTCTATAAAGAAATAAAATTTTCAGATTTTCACCTTTCAAGGTAACTTACAAAAATCCATATCGGAGAGTTTAGAATACGTCACATTCTATGGAAATTCATTTGGAAGAATACGGGAGACGGGGGCTTACGAGTCGTCCATTAACGCCACATTTGCAAAAGAAGTGTTTCCGGCACTAGCTAGTAATACAAGTACGTTTCTCTTAATAGTAATTAATCCATATAGAAGTATATATATGTTGGCCTAGTAGCTTCAGCGGGCTCATCCTTAATGGTGGCCATTCGCGGGCGATCCATGTGACTTTCGCGCCACGGGCCGGGCTCGATACTCGACGTCGCGCCGAGCCAAATTCATGCCATTCACGAACGCGCCAGCGAGCCGTTCCATTTGATCATTTTGAGTGTAGGCGTCGATAGCACCAGACGTGTTCATAATGAACTTCGATTCAGAAGATGAGTTTTATTTATCTACCATAGCGATTTGTCTAGTTTAAAAAAAAAGAAAGTGGTGTAAGGATTGGTTGCTGAAAAGATCGCAACACACTCACATAAATTTAATGAAGGAGTTGACGTTTTTTTCTAAACTTATAAATAAATTGAATAACAAAGTCACGGTTTGAACTCATTGCGAAAACGATTTATATTAAAAATGCGTCACGTGCTTCCCGTCCTACGGCTAAACGCAAACTAAAATCAAAATCATGGCGTGTTTGGCTCGCGAGTAACTCCATTCACGAGCGAGCAAACCGTATGGCACGACGGCTCAGACCGTTGGTTTTCCGCATTCACAAGCGCGCCGCCTGCGTATGCGCGCCGCGCCAATTGACTCGGCGCGATGGACTTTCGCGCAGTTGGAATTCCATCGCGCCGAGCCAATCCATTTGGACCGACAGTGTTTTCACATTCATGGACGAATTTTGGATCGACAGCGTGCCAAATGTATCGATGGATCGCCCGTGAATGGCCGCCATAAGGTCGTAGGTTCGATCTGCTGTGCGCCAATGGACTTTCTTTCTATGTGCGCATTTAACATTTGCTCGAACGGTGAAGGAAAACATCGTGAGGAAACCGACATGTCTTAGACCCAAAAAGTCGACGGCGTATGTCAGGCACGGGAGGCTGATCACCTATTTGCCTATAAGATTGACAAATGAACATGAAATAGATACATAAATCTAAGGCTTAGACTTAAAAAGGTTGTATCGCCACTGGTTTTTTTTTTGTTTATTGGTGCTTAAAATATTACTTTATTGTTTTAATAGAACAGAGGGCAAAAGTTCAACCGGCCATCGACTCATACTGATACAAGGCTCGCTAGTCCGTGGCCGACCTTTAAAGTAACCTAAAAAAAGTTGTTTGCCGTAACTGAGACCTTTTAATATCACCCAAACCATGCAAAACAACAGAACCTTATAACTCACCGATTTTTCTTATCTTTAAGGAATACCCTCATGGTCCATCGGTCTAAGAAATGTGACATTTAAGAGATTACGCCAGTTAGATCTGCGAGCGTGTAAAATTGATACCTTGGACGCGTTCACATTCATAGGAATGCCATCCTTAACTCATTTGTATTTAGGAGAAAATAAGATTACGTTTATAGATGCAAATGCCTTTAGTGGCCTCAGCAATCTAGTTCATATCGATTTAAGTAGAATGACATATGTCGATAGGAATGATCCAGTGAAAGCTCTTACATTTGAATCTATGGATACTTTTGCTCACTTGAACCTGATATCACTAGACCTTTCATTTACTCCTTTGAGCACAAGAAATATTCCTCTATTAAGCCGACTTGGTAATAAGTTGGAGAGGTTATCCATATGTTATACAGAAATATTCAAACTGCGACCAAACACTTTCGGTAGTTCACCACTCAAATATTTAGATATTTCCGGCAACAGTGATATCATATCAGATAATGGAACTTTAAGAGGATTAGAGGATACACTACGAGTGATATATGCACATTCAACCCTTTTGAGTACACTGCACGTTTTCAAAGGTTTTAAAAAATTAGAAATTCTGAAAGTTTCGCACAACGAAATAACCGATATTCCAAAAACCACGATGGAGACATTAGAAAATTTGCAAGTACTAGATCTAGGGCATAATAGAATTTCCATTTGGTTTTCCCCTGTTATTTCAAGTATGCCTCGCTTAAAACTCCTGTCTTTGGTGGGAAACAATTTGAACATGTTATCTGATGTAATTTTATCCGATATAAGCAATGTAAAGTACCTGTCTTTATCCAAAAACACAATGATTTGTCATTGCCTTATGAGAGAGATATATGAAATTGCGTATGAAAATGAATTGAAAATGACGCAGACGCCGCTTGAGCAAATTACGAATGAAAATAACATTTTCCACATCGGCTATTTAGAATACAACAATATAATCACGAATAGAACAAATCTAACATCAGCATGCCTTAAAATGGATAACGAAGATACAATATCAAATTATTTCAAGGGGTTTCCGGTTAATAGGAGTGGAAATTACTTGTTTTTGGATTACGATGAAGATGCATATAGCTGTTTATCTTTTCACACAGGAATTAAAACTTTTTTGAATGAAGTACCTACGTGTTCAGAGGACATGAGGGACATGCCCGATGATTTGACAGTGGCAACCCAAAGCAATCTCATGCTTCTCTTAATATTATTGATAACCCTGCCTATTTTAGTGTTCATCTATATTTTTAAACGGAATTTTAAGTACTTCTTGATAACAATGAGAAATTCGGCTATGTTGAGTTTAATCAGTGACAAGGATGTTAATTATGTCGGTGAGAATTATAATATTAATTAATATACATAACTAGAATTATAACTGTATAAATGATTTGTAATTACTTCAGAAAACAAACTATTCAATTACGACGTATTTGTGTCGTATTGCAATGAAGACAGGGCATGGGTGCTGGACCAATTGTTGCCTCACGTGGAGATTGACTGCAACATAAGCGTGTGTTTACATGAGCGAGATTTTCAGGTAAATTTTATATTATTCACTACGGAATTTAAGAGAATTACTGAATTGTCAATCATTCAAAAAAAGGTAATCCATCTTCCGTACTTCCTAAACACCAAAATAAAAAAAAATATGTGTAAATTAAGTGCGTACTTTGACACATTTGTATGTCTGTTTCAGTCGTATTTTTAACAAGGTACGCCTGTACACCCAACACTATACTCAACAAATACACTCAATAGATTTGTACCAACATGAAAATTTTAAAAAATTACCGATTCTTGGTTCGGCCTTTTGGTTTCATTTTAATTGAAATACTTTTCGCATTTGTTCTTGATTGTATAATATATAATTATTGTTTGAATTAAGTTTGTGTTAAGTTAATTTCTGTTCCTTGAACCTTTTATCAAGCAGATGCTTAAATAAAATAATAGAACGTGACCAGTAAGGTTTAATATCAAGTGAAACATTTGTCCTCGAACTAAATTGGCCCTTTGAGAACATAGGATATTAATTCATTATTCTTCATATGACTTTGTTTCTTGCAGGTTGGACTCTCAATATTAGAGAACATAGTATCATGTATGGATAGATCCCGGTCTATTATGTTAATCATATCGAGACGCTTTCTTCTCAGCCAGTGGTGTCAATTTGAAATGCACTTGGCTCAGCATAGGTAAGTGTCTCTTTATTGCCTTTCTTCTCTCTGTATATTTTTCGTGATTATATTTTTTCTAATAGGCAAGTGATAAGAGTTTTGTGGCTGCGCTCTCGATATTTGATTCCAAGGCATGCCGATGTATATATAAGCTACCCAAAAAACGCACTATCTTCGCCCAACGCTTTTTCTCTTTCAAAGGCTCTTTCATCTTCTAACCACTTTCTTAAAAACAAACTTTTTACCGATGAAACGCAATAACAATAATAATAGCGTCACGAAGATGTGCAGCGTTTTTAACGAAGAAAAGGGAGAGCGATTGAAACCGATTGAGAGAAAGTGTAATACCTTATAGAAATTGAATTTTTAAAATTAAAATTTCGTAAAGAGAATTTATGAAATATGTATTAGTATTTTATATTTTATGCATAATAATTTATTGCTATCTCAAATGACAAATTGGAAATAAAAATGCCACGTGTTTTTATTATCGAAGAAATAAATTTAAAAGTAAATTTATAATTTGTATTAATCTTCGACACGTTTAATATTTTAATGACAATTAAATTCATTAAATTCCTAACATACCTTCCTTTTTCCCTCCCTCTAAGTCTTGGAAATGTAAAGTTTTAGATTTGTATAAATATGAACAAGACGTAAAAATTGGTTTGCCAAAGAAGTTTCACTTCTGACATGTGTACTTTGTACGCAGTACGCACGCACTTCACACTTAGTTTTTGAATATGACTTTAAAATGTTCCAATAAATTATTTTGTAAACGATAACAGCACCATTCTAAATACAATTGAATTTAAATATAATTGTTACATTGTTATTTTAATAACAGCTACATATTTATTACTTATTTGACATTAAAACAAAAGTACCTCGACCTATCGGTTTCACCCGTGAATACTTTTTGTTCCGAATAAAATCATTTTTATTATTTATAACATTGATATACAAAAACCCAAGATGCACAATCAACGTCTAAAAAACGTCCTCAAAAAATGAGCGCAACATTCTAAATTGTGCGCTAATTACGTAGGGTGCAGCCGAGGGATGCAAAAAAATGCAAATTTACTTAAAAAACTATATTTAAAAGAAATTACAATTAATTAAAATTACAAATAAGTGCTAAATGATCGATGTTAGATCTAATTATGAAACTAATAAAAATGGAATCCGATATTGTGCGGGGCGATTGACGTCACCGACACATTCCGCTGACCATGCGCCTCGTGCCTCCATTGGTGCCGTGTGGAATGTTTTTCGGGCCGATGCAACGCTGCGATTTAGGCGAGGTGGCTTTGCGTAACACCTCCCCCCGAAGAACAGCGACTATTGCAGGACTCGTCCGAGATTGTCGCTGAGATGCATCTGTGGTCCATCTTCACTTGGTTAGGGTTAATACTCCGAGGTGTTGGGGTTGCGATCAATATTTCAGGATCACTGGTAGGGGCTCCTGCAGTTTCATTGCCTTTTGTCGATCCCCTGGTGTAGCAGTACAGCGCAGCGATGAATGCGCCTGCACAGAGTAGTATTAAATAGATGGGGATAGTTGTGTGATATATAGCTGGATCAGTTACGTCATCGAGATGGATGGATGGTTCAGCTGCTACTTCTGTATCCAAGGAGTGGAGTTTTTGCAGATTAAGTGAATTGAGGATAAGCTTTGGTGTTCTTTGGGCCTCGGCTCGGTATACAGAGGCATTTCCGTTATCCTTATGACATGTCCTTTTATTTGATCGTTATTGTTGGAGATGGTGAATGCGGGCGTATTCAGGTTGCAGTTCAATGGAATAATTGCAAGGAAGCTCCCTTGTAGGGTCCGGTATTGTTCTTGGCCGCATGATATTTTCACTTTAGTTGGTGCTGGAAAGCTCATTGTGTAGTGCTTGTCATCTAAAGCTTCCAGGGCTTCGGTTGTTAGAGTTACTGGAGTCAGTTTGCATGTCGGCTGGACTTCTTGGTGAGTAATGAGTTGTTGTATGCAATCGGGCTTCTCCTGGATTTTGAAGTTAAATTTGGCCTCGCAGAGAAATAATGAGTTTAACTTCGGACATTCTGTCTCTATGTTTTTTTTTTTTTTTTTGGGGAAAAAGGGGCACAAACGCGCATTTAAAGGGGGGGGGGGCCCCCCCCCCCCCCCCCCCCGCGGGGGGGGGGGGGGGGGGGCGGGGGCCCCGGGGGGGGGGGGGCCCGGGGGGGGGCCCCCCCCGGGGGGGGGGGGGGGGGGGGGGGGGGGGGGGGGGGCGGGGGGGGGGGGGGGGGGGGGGGGGGGGGGGGGGGCCGCGCGGGGGGGGGGGGGGGGGGGGGGGGGGGGGGGGGGGGGGGGGGGGGGGGGGGGGGCCCCCCCCCCCGGCGGGGGGGGGGGCGGCCGGCGGCCCCCCCCCCCCCCCCCCCCCCCCCCCCCCCCCCCGGGGGGGGGGGGGGGGGGGGGGGGGCCCCCCCCCCCCCCCCCCCCCCCCCCCCGCCCCCGCCCCGGGGGGGGGGGGGGGGGGGCCGCGCCCCCCCCCCCCCCCCGCGGGGGGGGGGGGGGGGGGGGGGGGGGGGGGGGGGGGGGGGGGGCGGGGGGGGGGGGGGGGGGGGGGGGGGGGGGGGGGGGGGGGGGGGGGGGGGGGGGGGGGGGGGGGGGGGGGGGGGGGCGCCCCCCCCCGGGGGGGGGGGGGGGGGGGGGGGGGGGGGCCCCCCCCCCCCCCCCCCGCGCCCCGCCGGGGGGGGGGGGGGGGGGGGGGGCCCCCCCCCGGGGGGGGCGGGGGGGGGGGGGGGGGGGGGGGGGGGGGGGGGGGGGGGGGGGGGGGGGGGGGGGGGGGGGGGGGGGGGGGGGGGGGGGGGGGGGGGGGGGGGGGGGGGGGGGGGGGGGGGGGGGGCCCCCCCCCCCCCCCGGGGGGGGGGGGGGGGGGGCCCCCCCCCCCCCCCCCCCCCCCCCCCCCCCCCCCCCCCCCCCCCCCCCCCCCCCCCCCCCCCCCGGGGGGGGCGCCCCCCCCCCCCCCCCCCCCCCCCCGGGGGGGGGGGGGGGGGGGGGGGGGGCGGGGGGGGGGGGGGGGGGGGGGGGGGGGGGGGGGGGGGGGGGGCGGGGGGGGGGGGGGGGGGGGGGGGGGGGGGGGGGGGCGGCCGGCCCCCCCCGGGGGGGCCGGCCCCCCCCCGGGGGGGGGGGGGGGGGGGGGGGGGCCGGGGGGGGGCCGCGGGGGGGGGGGGGGGGGGGGGGGGGGGGGGCCCCCGCCCCCCCCCCCCCCCCCCCCCCCCCCCCCCCCCCCCCCCCCCCCCCCCCCCCCCCCCCCCCCCCCCCCCCCCCCCCCCCCCCCCCCCCCCGGGCCCCCCCCCCGCGGGGCCGCGCCGCGGGGGGGGGGGGGGGGGGGGGGGGGGGGGGGCCCCCCCCCCCCCGCGGGGGGGGGGGGGGGGGGGGGGGGGGGGGGGGGGGGGGGGGGGGGGGGGGGGGGGGGGGGGGGGGGGGGGGGGGGGGGGGGGGGGGGGGGGGGGGGGGGGGGGGGGGGGGGGGGGGGGGGGGGGGGGGGGGGGGGCCCCCGCCCCGGGGGGGGGGGGGGGGGGGGGGGGGGGGGGGGGGGGGGGGGCGCCGGGGGGGGGGGGGCGGGGGGGGGGGGGGGGGGGGGGGGGGGGGGGGCCCCCCGCGCCCCGGGGGGGGGGGGGGGGGGGGGGGGGGGGGGGGGGGGGGGGGGGGGGGGGGGGGGGGGGGGGGGGGGGGGGGGGGGGGGGGGGGGGCGGGGGGGGGGGGGGGGGGGCCCCCCCCCCCCGGGCCCGGGGGGGGGGGGGGGGGGGGGGGGCGGCGCCCCCCCCCCCCCGCGGGGGGGGGGGGGGGCGGGCCCCCCCCGGGGGGGGGGGGGGGGGGGGGGGGGGGGGGGGGGGGGGGGGGGGGGGGGGGGGGGGGGGGGGGGGGGGGGGGGGGGGGGGGGGGGGGGGCGCGCCCCCCGCGGGGGGGGGGGGGGGGGGCCCGGGGGGGGGGGGGGGGGGGGGGGGGGGGGGGGGGGGGGGGGGGGGGGGGGGGGGGGGGGGGGGGGGGGGGGGGGGGGGGCGCCGCGCCCCCCCCCCCCCCCCCCCCCCCCCCCCCCCCCCCCCCCCCCGCGCGCCCGGGCCCCCGCGGCGGGGGGGGGGGGGGCCGCGGGGCCCCGCCCCCCGCGCCGGGGCGGGGGGGGGGGGGGCCCCCCCCCCCCCCCCCCCCCCGGCCGCGGGGGGGGGGGGGGGGGGGGCGGGGGGGGGGGGGGGGGGGGGGGGGGGGGGGGGGGGGGGGGGGGGGGGCCCCCGCCCCCGCCCCGCCCCGCGCGGCGCCGCGGGGGCGGGGGCCGCGGGGGGGGGGGGGGGGGGGGGGGGGGGGGGGGGGGGGGGGGGGGGGGGGGGGGGGCGCCCCCCGGCGGGGGGGGGGGGGGGGGGGGGGGGGGGGGGGGGGGGGGGGGGGGGGGGGGGGGGGGGGGGGGGGGGGGGGGGGGGGGGGGGGGGGGGGGGGGGGGGGGGGGGGGGGGGGGGGGGGGGGGGGGGGGGGGGGGGGGGGGGGGGGGGGGGGGGGGGGGGGGGGGGGGGGGGGGGGGGGGGGGGGGGGGGGGGGGGGGGGGGGGGGGGGGGGGGGGGGGGGGGGGGGGGGGGGGGGGGGGGGGCGCGGGGGGGGGGGGGGGGGGGGGGGGGGGGGGGGGGGGGGGGGGGGGGGGGGGGGGGGGGGGGGGGGGGGGGGGGGGGGGGGGGGGGGGGGGGGGGGGGGGGGGGGGGGGGGGGGGGGGGGGCCCCCCGCCCCCGGGGCGGGGGGGGGGGGGGCCCCCCCCCCCCGCCGCCGGGGCGGGGGCGCCCCCCCCCCCCCCCCCCCCCCCCCCCCCCCCCCCCCCCCGGCGGGGGGGGGGGGGGGGGGGGGCCGGGGGGGGGGGGGGGGGGGGGGGGGGGGGGGGGGGGGGGGGGGGGGGGGGGGGGGGGGGGGGGGGGGGGGGGGGGGGGGGGGGGGGGGGGGGGGGGGGGGGGGGGGGGGGGCGCCCCGGGGGGGGGGGGGGGGGGGGGGGGGGGGGGGGGGGGGGGGG